AAGTTTTTCATTACTATTTTACGAATTTCATTCAATTCATTTCGAATATTTCTTCCAAATTTATTATTTGTGATGGAAGGCGATATATCATAGAACATTTTTGATAGTCACCTTTAAGTCTCGATGGTGACACGACAGGTACCCTTACGAGGGGAGAGTATCAACCCTTGGCATCGGTAAACCCTCGTTGCAACCGGGGTAGGCGCCTGATGGGTTAGGTATATACAGTGTTTCTCATTTAGGAGAAAATTGTTGGCTATCTGTTCCGCTCATTTTTTGAGCATCAGAAGAATATGTCGCGTTTCAGCAACGGAATTTGAAATAGTTTTCATCAATATTTCAGTTTCTTATTCCATGTAACTTTCATGATTTCAAATCTCAATATACTTTGGAATTCGAGATATTGATACCAACTATGTTTTAGATCAACGAAGCCAAATGTTATTAATCGACGGAAAAATTGCACAAAAGAGGAAAGGTTAAAATCTCAATATATTTTGAATTCGAGGTATTGATACCAACTATGTTTCAGATCAACGAAGCGACGTGTTATTAATCGACGAAAAAAATGCACAAAAGAGAAAAGTTCAAATCTCAATATATTTTGAATTCGAGATATTGATACCAACTATGTTTTAGATCAACGAAGCGACGTGTTATAAATCGACGGAAAAATTGCACAAAAGAGGAAACCAGACCAGAAATCAACGACCGGTGATAAGTTTTTCATTACTATTTACGAATTTTATTCAATTCATTTCGAATATTTCTTCCAAATTTATTATTTGTTATGGAAGGCGATATATCATAGAACATTTCTTGATAGTCATCTTTAAGTCTCAATGGTGACACGACAGGTACCCTTACGAGGGGAGAGTATCAACCCTTGGCATCGGTAAACCCTCGTTGCAACCGGGGTAGGCGCCTGATGGGTTAGGTATATACAGTGTTTCTCATTTAGGAGAAAATTGTTGGCTATCTGTTCCGCTCATTTTTTGAGCAATAGGAGAATATGTCGCGTTTCAGCAACGGAATTTGAAACAGTTTTCATCAATATTTCAGTTTCTTATTCCATGTAACTTTCATGATTTCAAATCATCATATATTTTGAATTCGAGATATCAATACCAACTATGTTTCAGATCAACGAAGCGAAGTGTTATTAATCGACGGAAAAATTGCACAAAAGAGGAAAGTTTAAATCTCAATATATTTATAATTCGAGATATTGATACCAACTATGTTTCAGATCAACGAAGCGACGTGTTATTAATCGACGAAAAAATTGCACAAAAGAGGAAACCAGACCAGAAACCAACGACCGGTGATAAGTTTTTCATTACTATTTACGAATTTCATTCAATTCATTTCGAATATTTCTTCCAAATTTATTATTTGTTATGGAAGGCGATATATCATAGAACATTTTTGATAGTCACCTTTAAGTCTCGATGGTGACACGACAGGTACCCTTACGAGGGGAGAGTATCAACCCTTGGCATCGGTAAACCCTCGTTGCAACCGGGGTAGACGCCTGATGGGTTAGGTATATACAGTGTTTCTCATTTAGGAGAAAATTGTTGGCTATCTGTTCCGCTCATTTTTGGAGCATCAGAAGAATATGTCGCGTTTCAGCAACGGAATTTGAAAAAGTTTTCATCAATATTTCAGTTTCTTATTCCATGTAACTTTCATGATTTCAAATCCCAATATACTTTGGAATTCGAGATATTGATACCAACTATGTTTTAGATCAACGAAGCCAAATGTTATTAATCGACGGCAAAATTGCACAAAAGAGGAAAGTTCAAATCTCAATATATTTTGATTTCGAGGTATTGATACCAACTATGTTTCAGATCAACGAAGCGACGTGTTATTAATCGACGAAAAAATTGCACAAAAGAAGAAACCAGACCAGAAACCAACGACCGGTGATAAGTTTCTCATTCCTATTTACGAATTTCGATCAATTCATTTCATTTCGAATATTTCTTTCAAATTCAATATTTAGGGGTAGGTTCCTGATGGGTTAGGTATATACAGTGTTTTTCATTTAGGAGAAAATTGTTGGCTATCTGCTCCGATCATTTTTTGAGTAATAGAAGAATATGTCGCGTTTCAGCAAACGGAATTTGAAAAAGTTTTCTTTAATATTTCAGTTTCTTATTCCATGTAACCTTCATGATATCAAATCTTAATATATTTCGAATTCGAGATATCAATACCAACTATGTTTTAGATCAACGAAGTGATGTGTTATTAATCGATGGAAAAATTGCACAAAAGAGGAAAGTTCAAATCTCAGTATATTTAGAATTCGAGATATTGATACCAACTACGTTTTAGATCAACGAAGCGACGTGTTATTAATCGACGGAAAAATTGCACTAAAGAGGAAACCAGACCAGAAACCAACGACCAGTGATAAGTTTTTCATTACTATTTACGAATTTTATTCAATTCATTTCGAATATTTCTTCCAAATTTATTATTTGTTATGGAAGGCGATATATCATAGAACATTTTTTGATAGTCACCTTTAAGTCTCGATGGTGACACGACAGGTACCCTTACGAGGGGAGAGTATCAACCCTTGGCATCGGTAAACCCTCGTTGCAACCGGGGTAGGCGCCTGATGGGTTAGGTATATACAGTGTTTCTCATTTAGGAGAAAATTGTTGGCTATCTGTTCCGCTCATTTTTTGAGCAATAGAAGAATATGTCGCGTTTCAGCAACGGAATTTGAAAAAGTTTTCATCAATATTTCAGTTTCTTATTCCATGTAACTTTCATGATTTCAAATCATCATATATTTTGAATTCGAGATATCAATACCAACTATGTTTCAGATCAACGAAGCGAAGTGTTATTAATCGACGGAAAAATTGCACAAAAGAGGAAAGTTTAAATCTCAATATATTTAGAATTCGAGATATTGATACCAACTATGTTTCAGATCAACGAAGCGACGTGTTATTAATCGACGAAAAAATTGCACAAAAGAGGAAACCAGACCAGAAACCAACGACCGGTGATAAGTTTTTCATTACTATTTACGAATTTCATTCAATTCATTTCGAATATTTCTTCCAAATTTATTATTTGTTATGGAAGGCGATATATCATAGAACATTTTTGATAGTCACCTTTAAGTCTCGATGGTGACACGACAGGTACCCTTACGAGGGGAGAGTATCAACCCTTGGCATCGGTAAACCCTCGTTGCAACCGGGGTAGGCGCCTGATGGGTTAGGTATATACAGTGTTTCTCATTTAGGAGAAAATTGTTGGCTATCTGTTCCGCTCATTTTTTGAGCAATAGAAGAATATGTCGCGTTTCAGCAACGGAATTTGAGAAAGTTTTCATCAATATTTCAGTTTCTTATTCCATGTAATTTGCATGATTTCAAATCTCAATATACTTTGGAATTCGAGATATTGATACCAACTATGTTTTAGATCAACGAAGCCAAATTTTATTAATCGACGGAAAAATTGTACAAAAGAGGAAAGTTCAAATCTCAATATATTTTGAATTCGAGGTATTGATACCAACTATGTTTCAGATCAACGAAGCGACGTGTTATTAATCGACGAAAAAATTGCACAAAAGAGGAAACCTGACCAGAAACCAACGACCGGTGATAAATTTCTCATTCCTATTCACGAATTTCGATCAATTCATTTCATTTCGAATATTTCTTCCAAATTTAATATTTAGGGGTAGGTTCCTGTTGTGTTAGGTATATACAGTGTTTCTCATTTAGGAGAAAATTGTTGGCTATCTGCTCCGATCATTTTTTGAGTAATAGAAGAATATGTCGCGTTTCAGCAACTGAATTTGAAAAAGTTTTCTATAATATTTCAGTTTCTTATTCCATGTAACCTTCATGATATAAAATCTTAATATATTTTGAATTCGAGATATCAATACCAACTATGTTTTAGATCAACGAAGCGAAGTGTTATTAATCGATGGAAAAATTGCACAAAAGAGGAAAGTTCAAATCTCAGTATATTTAGAATTCGAGATATTGATACCAACTACGTTTTAGATCAACGAAGCGACGTGTTATTAATCGACGGAAAAATTGCACAAAAGAGGAAACCAGACCAGAAACCAACGACCGGTGATAAGTTTTTCATTACTATTTACGAATTTTATTCAATTCATTTCGAATATTTCTTCCAAATTCATTATTTGTTATGGAAGGCGATATATCATAGAACATTTTTTGATAGTCACCTTTAAGTCTCGATGGTGACACGACAGGTACCCTTACGAGGACCTGTCGCTAAACGTAGCGACAAGCCTTCAACTAAGCGAAAAACATATTCTTGTCCTTGTCAAACATAAACTTATGGTTTACTTCAAAATCGTTTTTGATTATATCTTGTCAAGTGTGCGTACTCTGAATATACAAAAACGTCAATACAGCCAGTGTCAAGTACATTTCGGAACTCTACTCATTAGGTACAATCGACATTTTTTGATCAATTTTAATTGATCATAACTTCTGACTGCTTCAACCGATTTTGAGTTTCTTTTCAGTTTCTGGATGTTCGTTTCATCGACTATTGAGCCCATGATGATGATCATTAAATCTCTTTAGGAAGAGATTCTACAGGATGATATCAAAGCTGTGCAATCTTGCAAAAGAGGAGGGAGGTTTTTCAAATTTTTTCTGAAGTGAAAAATATATCGCACATCGCACATATATATGTTTTCTCCAAACTGTTTTGAACTTTTCGAAATTGTCGCACTCATTACTGAAATATGAATAATTTCATAGGCAAGAACACTCATATCTAGTAAAAATACTACGACGTTCATCACGATGAGAAAACGAATAGAGATTTTTTTTGTTCCTTCTAGTTTTCTCAAAATAAATTCCCAAAGAAATGTTACTGTTAGTACACGACGGAAAATCGCCGTACTGACGTCACAAGTTCTATAACGTCATCAGACTAGATTAAGGGAAATTATGGAATATTACCTGGGACCAGTTCCGCAACCACTATCAGCAGAAACTGAGATGCATCGACGTTTTGGGGTATGCAAGTATTCAAAGTCACTATCACTGCTTTCAGTATTGTAAGCATCATCAATGCTGTTTGTATTTGAAAGACTGTTTACGGCGGCTGTATCTTGGATTATTTCTTCTTCTATTGTCTGATTCCTGGAAAATATAAAGAAACAACATAATTAATTATTGTTTGTATTCAAATGAAGGAAAACAAATTCCGAAACCTCCATTATTTTTCATCAAATGGAGGATACAACTTGGCATTACTGCAATGAAAACGGATTATTCCGGATCCTTCTTATTTCATTTAGTTATTGTAGTTCTAAACTACCAACCTCCACCTTCGTACACTGTGGTCTTCCCTGAAAGAGAAGACTTTGTTCGGAACGGAACTAACCTATGTAGGGCAAATGAATGTTGGTATACCGATGGCTCCAAAACTTTGGAAGGCGTCGGAGCCGGAATATACGGGATGAACCCAGTAGTGAGTGAGTATAACTTGAGAGGACAATGAAAATGGTGAATTTGGTACATCTATATGGAAAGTGATATTCGATCGTGAAGTTATACGAGGTACATTGAAATTGAGTGATGATAGCAAGACTGATGAGTCAATTTGGTTATGTATCAATTTGTATATGGAAATAAGGTCTATAATTTCCGATGTTTTTTCAACGAAATGAAATTGATTTCTCTGAGAAGTGATTCATAATCATAACCTCTGTTCGGATAGAATCCATGCCAGAAATGTTTTCAGAACTGTCTCTATGGCTGTGACATAGTTGGAGTAGCATGGATTCCATACAACACTACAGTATACTAGTTCACTCTCGAGTTTACTCCTAACAATAGACAGATAAATAGTGCGGAGCGCCTCGAAGGAACTAAACTCTTTACAATTTCGGATAAGAAAACCCAGAGATTTGATTGCTGATATTGATATTGCCTCAATATGTAACGAGAATGATAATTTTTGATCGAATGTCACACCTAGGTCTTTAGTTTGAGTGACTCGCGTCAAGCTCTTGTCGATTTGACACTTATTAGTGAGTAATTCAAGATCATTTTGTAACAATACACAGTCATCAATATCTTTTATTTCCTTATATAACTTTAAATCATCAGCAAACAACAGTTTTTGTGATCTCAGATTGTCGCCTATATCATTGACAAATAGTAAAAAGAGTCATGGTCCCAGGTTAGAACCCTGTGGCACACCAGAGGTAGCAGAAAAACTGAAAGTTTTAACACCTTCATATTCTACGAACAATTTCCTATCAGAAAAAAAGGAACTTGAAAGAAATTGTGGCTTATTTGTCCCGCAAATATTCATTTTCATCAGAAGTTGTTGATGTGATACACGATCAAAAGCCTTATACTAAAATCCGTATATATCCGTTACCACCGATACAACAAGGCCTGCATGCTCCGTGGGTGACGTCACTTAGTGAGGCCTAACCAGCGGCTCGAAACTACAAGCGCTTATAGCGCTATAAGGCGACTGCGTATTTCGATTTTAGATTAGATTAGATTTTAGATCATCATTGAGCCGATTTTGCTGTTTTTTGAAGGGCTTCCAGTTAAAAAAGGATGCCAGTTGTCAACTGAGCCCTTCTTCGCACCCCATTCGATTTTATTATGGAAAAACGAAGTTTTAAAGCAAAAACCAGGATAAAACACAAATATCCACCTACAGCAACCCATTCGAATTGAATATATTGGCAAAAATTGTGGTGAAGGTAAACTTCACACCACTTATACAGGGCCCGCAGAACATAAACTTATCGTGAGATTGATCGAAAGAAAATTGTGGAAAATGTATTTTATTTTGATTGACATGTCGTTTGTTACAATTACCTATATTTATCTTGGAGAATTCCTATTACCTGAAACAATAACCAGTGAGTGTTTTCAATTTTCTGTTGTTGGATTTTTCACCCAAGTGGATCGTTACACTTGAAACCGTAATTTTTAAGGGTAAAACTGCATTTATCATACGATGGATTTTTGTTTTTGAAATTTTTTTTCGGTACTCACGTATTTTTGTCTGATAAACCGAATTTTATAATGAAAATATGAACAAACCACTATTTATTGAGATATTTCAAGAAAAAGTTCGAAATTTCGCCTTCTTTCTCCCCTTGTGTTGGGGGCATTTGAAGCTACTTGATCTTATTTTGTCATTGGACACTTTATATACTCATGATGTACTCCGATGGCACATTTTTATATAGAAAATTCAACAGGAAATATGATTTTTATGGCGAGTTTTTCATATTTAGTGAACAAGCATTCCAGATGACGACCATTTAATCAAGAGTCAATCAAAATACGAGATGTCAAATGTCAATAGATTGCTTTCGAATGACATTACACACGCCATTATTTTGAATGATATTCTTTCTTCTTTTCACTAAATATGGATTAATCTCAAGAAAATCATATTTATAGTTGAATTATATATAAATTGTCCAATATGATGAAAAAAGAAGGGAAATTTGTTCTAAATGCCATCCAGAAGACAGGTAAAAAAGAAGGTGAAATTTGGAACTTTTTAGTCAAATATCTTCATGATAAATATCATGATTAATGCAGTTTTGTAAGAATTGATCTACAAACGAAGAGCACTCATTCTATTTAGTTTTATTGAATACTCAGTATAATGATTGATTGTCAAGTGTGACATAATTGAGAATTGTAATCGTCAGATTAATTCCATGTTTGAATAAAGTATTCAGTTGGTTAACACATCAGTTCTTCGATCCACGTGTCCTTCCAAAAGGTTATGGGCCCAGGGCTATCGTACGAAGACGTGAAGTTGTGAAGAAAACCAATTTTTGAGTTCAAAAAATGAGTGGTCTAACAACCGTCAGAATTGAACCTTTGAGTAAGGAAAACTTCGACACATGGAAGTTACAAATGGAAGCGATATTAATCAAGAATGATTACTGGGATTACGTGAACGGTATCAAGAAACGACCGACGGCGGAACCAGATGAAACTGCGAGGTGGGACATAGCTGATAGAAAGGCAAGGTCTGATCTTATCTTGTCCATCAGTCCATCTGAATTGAAGCAGATAAAGAACTGTGGAACATCTCACGAAGTTTGGGAGAAATTGCACTCGATTTATCAATCGAGAGGTCCAGCCAGGAAAGCAACACTTCTGAAACAACTAACATAAGATGAAGAGTGGTGAAGATGTTCGAGAATATATAGCCAGATTTTTCGATGCGGTTGATAAACTTAAAGATATGGAAGTTGAAATCAACGATGATTTGTTGACAATCATGCTGCTTTATAGTTTACCGGATGAATACGAAAATTTCAGATGTGCTATTGAGTCGAGAGACGAGCTTCCGAAACCCGAAGTTCTGAAAATAAAGATCATCGAAGAGAATGAAGTGAGAATGGAAAGAGGAAAGGGTGATAATGCTTTTTTGACAAAGAAAGAGTATAGGAAATTCAACCCTAGGTATTCGAAACCGAATAATTCCGAGAATACTTCATCATCAGAGAAATTTAAATTCAAGTGCCACAGATGTAAGAAGATTGGACACAAGTCTTCAGAATGCCGAATTAGGAATGAAAATGCTGCCCAGTCCGAAGAATTAAGTCTTCAAGTAGCATATCCAAGCATTCAGAACCAATCGAAGAAACATGAACTGGAATGGTGCTTAGATAGCGGATGCACGTCCCACATGTGTCATGATGGTGACAGATTTGTATTCCTTGAGAAAACTGGAAACCAGGTAGTTAATCTCGCTGACAAGTCTTCAACTGAAATAATAGCCAAAGGAACAGTGAAGTTGAATGTCAATAATAAAATTTTGACTATGCGAGATACCTTGTATGTTCCAGAACTAAGGAATGATCTAATGTCGGTGTCTAAAATAACAGAAAATGGTTATGAAGTGCTTTTCACTGATAAAAACGCATTCATACTAGATGAACAGGGTGATTCCAAAATCATAGCTGATAGAAGAAATGGTTTGTACTTCATCAGAGAACAGGAGGAATTCGGATGTATAGCTACAAATAACACACTGGAATTATGGCATAAAAGATTTGGGCATCTCAACGAACAAGATTTGAAACTGTTTTTTAGAGAAAATCCCATACATGGTGTTCATTTGGAACAAAATGTTTTGCCTACGTGTGAGGTTTGTTTGCGGGGGAAAATGACTCAGATACCTTTCCCGAAACATTCTCTCAGAAGTTCAATGCTTTTGGAAATCATTCACTCTGATATATGCGGACCAATGTCATCTGAATCTATAGGAAGATCCAAATATTTTATAACTTTCATAGATGACTTTTCGAGATGGGGCGAAGTAAAATTTCTGAAGAAGAAAAGTGACGCTTTGGAAGCCTTCAAAGAATATAAAAATATGGTAGAAAATCAGAAGAACTGTCGAATCAAGTATTTACAAACCGATAATGGTGGGGAATATTGCAGTACTGAATTTGAAAGATACTTGAAAGATAATGGCATCAAAAGAAGACTGACAGTACCCTATACACCCCAGCAAAACGGGATAGCTGAAAGGCGAAATCGGATTTATCTTGACATGACTCGATGTATGCTGATAGAATCTGGTTTACCAACCAAATTTTGGGCAGAAGCAGTCGCAACTTCTTGTTACATTAGGAATAGATGTCCATCAAGCAGTATAAATAAACAAATTCCATTCGTTTTATGGGGGAATGGGAAACCAAATGTTGAGAATTTTAAAACATTTGGAAGTAAAGGTTATATCTTGAATAAATCGCCGAAAAAGACTAAATTTGAACCACGATCGCAGAAATGTATATTCCTTGGTTATTCCGAAGAATCAAAGGGATATAGAGTATGGTTGCCTGAGGAACAGAAAGTTCAGATTAGTCGAGATCTGAAAATCGTCCAGGAAAATATTCATGAAGAAGAAATAGAAAAGAAAGACACTATTGTGCCGAAACTTTTATTTCAAGAATGGGTAGAATGTCCTGAAACAAATGATTCAGAAAACCGTTCAGAAGTAGAGGGTGATGAATCATATGAACAAGACAGAGAACTACCACAAGACGAACATGACTCAACTTTGGATGACGAAGGTGACGAAATTGATCAACAAGAACCGGCAATTGAGAAAATCGAGAATTTAAGAAGAGGACCTGGAAGACCTAAAATTATCAGAGATGGTAAAAGGGGTAGACCAAGAAAAGAATATAGAACTATTGCAGATGGAGATGAATCAGAAGCTAATGAAAATTTGAAAAGTACAGGAGAGGAAACCGAAACTGCCGAATGTGTCTATAATGTTGAGATTCCCATGAAGATTGCTTTAACAGGAGATGAATCACTTGAATGGAAAAATGCCATGAGAAGAGAATTTGTATCTTTGATTGAGAATAAAACTTGGAAATTAGTCAACAAACCAAATGATAGACAATTGGTAGGATGCCGCTTTGTACTTGTTGAAAAATACAAATCGGATGGTACATTAGAGAAGAGAAAAGCCCGTTTAGTCGCTAAAGGGTATTCTCAGTGTCCTGGAATCGATTTCCACGAGACGTTTGCTCCTGTTGTGAGGATTAGTTCAGTGCGAACTGTTATAGCTTTTGCAATCCAGCATGATATGGAACTCCATCAATTAGACGTTGAAACTGCATTCCTGAATGGAGATTTAGAAGAGGAAATATACATAGAAAAACCTGAATTTTTAGAAGAAATGCTTCAAGATATTGCTTCACATGAAAATGAAACAATTTCAACAGAAGCAAGAGAAATGATCACTCAGTTGAAATCAGGACATAAAGTGTGTTTACTAAAAAAATCACTGTATGGATTACGTCAGTCAGGAAGGCAGTGGTATAACAAGCTCCACAATAAACTTGTTTCTTTCGGAATGCAGCCTTGTAATTCTGATCCATGTGTATACAATGCACGAAGAGATTCGGATATAATGCTACTAGCTGTATATGTTGATGACATAATTTTGGCCAGTCGCAATAAACATTGGCTGGAAGAAATAAAGAGTGAGCTGACTAGGTCATTTAAAATAAAAGACTTAGGACTTTTACATTATTGTCTTGGAATATCATTCAACTATTCTGAGGACAGAAAAATAATGAAGTTATCGCAAGAGAGATATATAAAAGAAATTTTAAAAGAATACGGAATGGAAAACTGTAAAGCAATATCTACTCCATTAGATGTTTCTACTAAACTGGGGAAAGAACTGAATGTTCCTGATGAAACAATGAAGAAATTTCCATTCAGGTCGCTAATTGGCAAATTGATGTATTTATCATTGGCAACTCGTCCAGATATAACATTTTCGGTGAATCACTTGAGTCAATTCAATACCTGCTATACGGAAATACATTGGAAAGCTGCGAAAAGAGTTCTGCGCTATTTGAAAGGGACAGAAAGTTTTGAGCTGAATTATAAGAAGAGTCACTCAAATATTGAAGGATTTGCCGATGCAGATTGGGGAGGAAATAGCATCGACAGAAAATCGTATTCTGGATATGTTTTTCTCTTGAATGGTACAGCAATCAGTTGGCAGGCTAAAAAACAACCAACTGTGGCTTTATCCACTGCAGAAGCAGAATATATGAGTCTAACAGAAGCTGCCAAAGAAGGAATTTTCTTACGAAAGTTTCTATCCGAACTAAGTAATTCAATACCATCCTGTATAACGATCTTCAATGATAACCAGAGTGCTATCCAAATGACAAAGAATCCCGTTTTTCATTCACGATCGAAGCATATCGATATGAGACATCATTTTATTCGAGATGCAGTAGATCAACAGTTAGTCGTGATAAAATATATGCCAACAACTGAAATGGTAGCGGATATATTCACGAAATCGTTGCCGAAAATGAAGCATCAGTATTGTTCAACTGCCTTAGGACTTCAAGAATAAGTGACTCATGTTTGTGGGAGAGTGTAAGAATTGATCTACAAACGAAGAGCACTCATTCTATTTAGTTTTATTGAATACTCAGTATAATGATTGATTGTCAAGTGTGACATAATTGAGAATTGTAATCGTCAGATTAATTCCATGTTTGAATAAAGTATTCAGTTGGTTAACACATCAGTTCTTCGATCCACGTGTCCTTCCAAAAAGTTTTACCTTTTTAAGTAGAGTGTTTGTAGTTCATGTTAATATGATAGTTGCAATTTGATCATTGGAATGAATTCTGCATTCATTGCCACGAGGCAGATGACCGTTTTCAGAAAGAAATTTGAGAATGAGAATTAAAAATGCCCGTTTATTATGAACATTCGAGAAAATTTCCTCGAATTCAGAGATGATTTTGTTGACTATAATATACGAATACAAAACTAACTGCACAAACAAAGCTTTTCTATTTTTCCTCTACTTATACTTTTTATGGGAGAGTAATTGTCTTCTATTATTAATTCATCATTATAAATTAAGCTCTGTTTACTACTGAACTTAGATGGAGTAAAATCCTCGCGGTGAATTGCATATACCCACATTTTCGATAGCTCCTCGTCCAACGGGAAACTAAAAGCATGAACTTTTGAACCACCCACATAATTCCCCCGACAAAAGGGAACACAACACTTGAAAGGCATTGTTATTACGCCGATCACAACACAAAATATTTCACAAACAGTAATTTTTCCGCCAATTATTTTGATGAATAAACAACAAAAGAATTCGGGACCGTTTCAAAAACATACGTGAATCACCGATGAATTAACACGAACTGACGCGTTAGTTGACAAGCGATAAAATGAAACACTGGCCTCTCTTGGTGACGTCACGAGCTGTTTACGTCAGAGTCTGCTGGCCTTGTTGTGGTAACGATATATCACATCAACCTGATGGCGATTGTCAAGACATTTGGAAGCAAACTGAGTTAAAGCACAAAGATTGGAAGCAGTACGAACGAAACCATGTTGAAATTCAGGGATACGGTTGCGTGAGTGAGCTTGGAAAAAACAGATATCAAGGCAATTGGTCTATAATTTTCAATATCCAGTTTATTTCCCGATATGATGATGTTACCTGAGTAACAATGATAACAAAAATGTATTGTTGGTTGCATACGAATATGGTCACGTGGTGGGTAATCATTGTTAAGACCCGGTACCCGGTAGTATTCTTGCGTCTTACCTAGAATTCCTCGTATCCTCATCAACTACTTCCAGGACATTGATGAGCACGTCTCTGGTGCCGTTCAGCGGTGTCGGCAGGATATTCACGAAATTGCCTTCCACCACGCTGTCCTCAACCTCTCCACCACCATTAGCAGGCCTGACCTCGTCATCGGAATCATCTTCCACCAGCCTGAAAACGGACACCTCGGAACTCGTGATCCCCGTACTGGTACTGGGAGTGTCCAGCGAATGTCCATTCGGAATGGCATCCAGCGAACGTCCGTTGGAGGTCGCCTCGGCGCTCTCGGCCATGTTCCTGGCGCTCTGCCTGGTGAGGTATTTGCTGGTTCTGGGCTCCTTTTTCTGGCGCTTGGCGGTGTCTCGCTCGGCGGAGGACTTTTTGGATTTTTTGTGTGTGCCGTTGTGCTTCCTGGCTTTGGATTTGGTGGATTTCCTCTTGTGGGCTTTGTGTTGATTGTACCTGTTGATTGAGAACGATTGGTTTATGTTTGATAATCTATCTTGATAATCACTTTTCATGTGACCAAAGAAAACAACACATCATCATTATCGCTACTGTTAATTATCATACCTATGAACATAGCTTGTCGATTTGCTTCGTGCTAATCTCGCCAAGGTGTTCTTCTTCTTTGATATCAACTGCATTATTCTGTTTGATCTGTATTTCTTCAGTTCGGTATAGGTAGAGCCTCCGTTCTTAAAAATTTTCGCAATAACCTTTGTGGAATCCTAAAAAAAATATAACAACTTGTCTCCTGTGTCACCCGGTATATCATTTTGTTATCAGATGACGGTCGAAATTTGCAGCCGGCTCTTATTTTTTCATCGAGGTGGTTGAAATCCTTTATGGACACCCTATAGGTCCAATCCCCCATATGATAGTGTGGGAGTCCCCTGACTCCAGATATACCCACTAAACACTCCACCCCGTTTGTAGGCTTACCTACATGCCGTTATCAATTTTACCATGTACGACTCATGGTGCTTATTAAGGGCCACTTCAGTATGAAATACCCTTTTCGTTCGGGTTCCTGAAGATTACTCTTCCGATCCCTGTTCTCGTCTACGAAGAAGGCCAAAAGTTTTCCTTCTCCTACGAGTGACGGGGAAAGGGGTTGGTCCAGCCTTGTGGTGCCCCCTGCCGTTACCACCGATAAAACAAGGTCAGCAGACTCTGACGTAAACAGCTCGTGACGTCGCATACTCAGGCCATCTTCCAAGGCATTCGCGTCGATCGATCGTCAGTTTGTTTTTGTTTAAGAACGGTGGCGTAGGTAAATCGCGTGTGCTCCATGTGTGCTCGTATCTCTTGTTGTTTATTCATCAAAATAATTGGCGGAGAAATTAATGTTTTGTGAAATATTTCGTGTTGTGATAGGCGAAATAACAATGCCTTACAAGTGTTGTGTTCCCTTTTGTCGGGGGAATTATGTGGGTGGTCCAAAAGTTCATGCTTTTAGTTTCCCGTTGGACAAGGAACTATCGAAAAAGTGGGTACATGCAATTCACCGCAAGGATTTTACGACTCCAAGTATGTGAATTACATTTTACTAAAGATGATATTATTACTTCATCTACTGCAACCGATTCAAAAACTGGCAAAACTGTAACAATAGATTTGAAAATTCCTAGGCTCAAACGAGATGTTATTCCCACGCAATTTCCCAACTCTCCATCTGATTTATCGAAAGATGTAAAACTACGCACAAGTCGTGATGAAAAACTTGAGATACTAGAGACTGAAAATTTGGCACAAGCACTTACCAAAAGTAAAACTGAATTCGAAAATTACCAAAAATCATTTTGCTACACAGAATTTCAAGAATTTCTAGTTGTATTAGAGTCTTTTCAGTTGCCCGAAAAGTGGTTCAAAATTATTGATTTGCAAAAAGTCACATTATTCAAATTGTCTTATTCTCCAGGGCCCGTAATTACATATTCGGTTGTGCTTGATTTTGTTTTGAATGTGGAATCATTTTTGTATGACCTAGCGATACAAACATCTCTAAAAGCCAATCTGAAAACACCTTTTATCTCTAATAATATCAATCAAATCAAGGAATTACTAATTGAAATAGATAAAAACGAGATACATAATTCGGGAAAATGTCTTGATAATCAGAAAAAGAGGGTTTTGAAACATATTTCGAATGCATTGGACTCTTTGGTTTCTGACTCGATATATTCTCAAATTTCTTTCTGAAAACGGTAATTTGCCTCGTGGCAATGAATGCAGAATTCATTCCAATGATCAAATTGCAACTATTATATTAACATGTACTACAAACACTCTACTTAAAAATTACTGTTTCAAGTCTAACGACCAATTGGGTAAAAAATCCAACAACAGGAAATTGAAAACACTCACTGGCTAATTTTTTAGGTAATAGGAATTCTCCAAGATAAATATAGGTAATTAGGTATAACAAACGGCATGTCTATCAAACTAAAATACATTTTCCCCAATTTTCTTTCGATCAATCTCATGATAAGTTTATGTTCTGCGGGCCCTGTATAAGTAGGTGTGAAGTTTACCTCTAATGAGATTGAATCACTACAATTTTTGCCAATATATTTAATTCGAATGGGTTGCTGTAGGTGGGTATTTGTTTTTTATTCTGGTTTTTGCTTTGAAACTTCGTTTTTCCATAATAAAATCGAATGGGATGCGAAGAAGGGCTCAGTTGACGGCTGGCATCCTCTTTCAACCGGAAGCCCTTTAAAAAAAAGCAAAATCGGCTCAATAATGATCTAAAACTAAAATCGAAATACGCGGTCGCCTTATAGCGCTATAAGCGCTTGTCGTTTCGAGCCGCTGGTTAGGCCTGACTAAGTGACGTCACCCACGGAGCATGCAGGCCTTGTTTTATCAGTGGTAACGCCCCTGCACAGGGCTAAGACTACTTACTCTGAGATGTTTCCCAGAGGCCCCGTTTAGCTACACCATACCTCGGTGCCATTCATCCATCACCACGGGTTCCCACAGCTTGGATTAGGTTGCCAGAGCCTCGTTGACCAGTCCTCTGCCACCCAGACAGACTTCAGCAAATCGCCTCATCCCTGCCACAGATGTCCACAAATTGTCCCATCTTGCCCGGAGATAGCAAAGATAGTTCCAAAATGCTTCATCCGTCGAGCGGCCGCGGTCTGTCATCCCCACACCACTTGATGGTGAGGTTGGGCTTGAAGGGGAGGAGGAAAAGAGAAGTTGGCCAAGAAAGGCCGATAGATAGATTGGAAAAGGAGTGGAGAAGATAATATCACCCAAGACAAGTTGAAGTATGGTGAATATCCGGTACCTCGGGTTCACCACAAGTTGTGAGCCCCTGAGGGGCAGCCGGCTCTTGGACTAATACTTATTGTTTTCTAACTAACTATGCTTACCTCCTCATCGCTATCGGTGTCAGTTGAAAACGTGGCGTCAGTCTTTGAATCCCAGCCTTCGATCTCTCTCTGTATCAACGAATCGAAAAATGCCATCATTTTGGTATCTTCGTTGATCGACTGATCGCTATAATCGTGATTGATGCGCTGAAACCGATCATAGTAAACTCATACACCAAGAAAAATCATAGTCCGAGAACCGACTGCAAGATTACTACGTTCATCAAGTATGCAGTGAAAATCTAATTTTGACATACAGTCTCTCACTTTTAATGGAAGCAGCCCTGTATCTTACGTAATCGTTGAGTTAGGATTCTGAAATTTGCAGGAGCTAGAGATATACCAATAAAACACTCTAAGACCAAGTCGAGTCATATAATTTGTAGACCAGTAGGTGGTGACATATTTTTAGACGTGATTTCACCCAGTATTCCTTTTTGAGACTGAGATATGCAGTTTGTTTGTGGGGTAATTCAGTATAGCAGTGACCGACGGGTTGGTAGCACAAAAGACAATATAACGATGTATGTTTAATATGCCCAGGAGAACTTCCTGTAGACCGATTTTCAAGGAATTCAAAATTCTATAATTGTCACTGGTATTTATATATTTGAAATGTGTATGTTTGCTTTTAGGAATAAGGAGAATCTATCAATTTAAATAGTAACATCCATGATTATTATCATACTAGGCAGAAAAATAATTATTATGTACCTTTTGCAAAGCTCAAAATCAGAGAGAATGCACCAAATTTTTTAGCACTAAAGCTTTTCAATAATAATTTGAAGATTATCGTGAAGATTAACTGTTTCAAAAACAACTCTGCGCTGGATATGGCTCAGACTGAGGGGTGGCACAGAGGTTTTTGAAATCTACCATTCTACCAATATTACCTCGTTATCAAACTGCGAAATGAAGTGCAAATTGCCGCACAGGAAAGTGCAATTTTTCAATCATTTTGTTCAGGACAGTGATTGGCACTGTTACCGTTCGATGAACTACAATGTTTTTATTTCATACTGCATCATAGAACATACCTTTACGTACCTGATTTCAATCCGGAAAATAGACTTTTACAGGATAGGCGCACGTAATATTTCAATACCGGATTGTAAATATTGAAAACTCAGTTATGCGTCAAAAGCATGCATACCTTTATTAAAAATTCAACAGCAAAACAATACACAGAAAATACTTATTGCTAATATTAATATTAACCGTTAAATTTTCGTTCCCATGAATATGGATACCAGGAGCTCCATTGGATGAATTATTTATTAGGGAGTTGCTACTTGCTGATACATTCCCATTTTTTTTGTTGTAGCACTTCAACAAAGTTTTCTCCATGTTGAATCATGCGAGATACCTTATTGTTTTCCCCCTGGATCGAATCCTCGATTTATTTTTATTTCATACTGCATCATAGAACATATTTCATACTGCTAAAAAACAAAAATGAACAGTGAAAAATAAAATATTAATCTATTTATCTGCGTCCAATAATTTCAGAATTTTGCATTCACTCCCAAGATAGCTGGCAGGTAGTTTCCTTAAAAACATAATTTTTGTTTTAAATAATACTGTCAGTGATTGTCATTACGTGTTTTTCAGCTATCTTGGGAGTGAATGCAAAATTCTGAAACTACTGGACGCAGATAAATAGATTAATATTTTATTTTTCACTGTTCATTTTTGTTTTTTAGCAGTATGAAATAAAATGTTAAACGTCACACGTCCGGTAAACTTTTACAGTACTCGTTTCGAAATTCCGGACTCGGCTTACGCCTCGTCCGTAAACATCTCACTCGTACTGTAAAAGTGTACTTACCGGACTAATAACGTAAATATCATTACGTTATCAGAGACGGTCGAAATTTGCAGATCGCTCTTGGGCTTATATACAGGGTGTATCTAAATAACGCCGGAAAAATTCAAGGGGTGATTATAGCATATAAAGTTCATATACATATATATAATGACTTTCTCCGTTTTTGAGATACAGGATGTTGAATTTGGAAGTATTAATTCTTTTTATTTATAACCCCCCTGTATAAGCTTTCATGGTGCCAAAATTCAGTATGCTTGGAGACTGAGAAAGCACCGAAATTTCAAAATGATTGTAATTGAGGTTATTGAGTAATTTCAATGGAAGTCTTGAAAACACCTACATTAAATTTGGAGTCAAATCGAATTTGTATTGTTTCCTCGAAAACTAAGCTAGATACAAAAATCACACATAGGGGATAAAAAAGTTGATATTCCAATAGTTGAATCTAATAAAAATATGAAACTCAGAAAAACCGGTGGCGTACAATAACATTCACCATGAATATAAATTTACCCATTGTGAATTTGATTGCACCATCAGAAGAAGCTCCATATTACTATTAACAAAATCACAACGTTTCATTGAAATTGAAGAGAAGACAGTTGAGTAATAGATAAAAAAAAACGATTTTTTTGGAAATATTAATACCCTGTATTAGGACAAGTTAGGACACATGTTCATATGTACTTTATTTCTTTAAATATGACAAGGAATCACTCCTTGAATTTTTTCGGTGTTATTTAGTACACCCTCTGTATGTTAAAATTGAATTTTCATTGAATACTTGATGAATGTAGTAATCTTGCAGTCGGATCCTGTACTATAAATATCGTAGGTGCGCTTACGTCTGTACTAACGACAATACTCATGTAGTCTTCGTGAGTGTAGATGGCTCTCACTGGTTCTGTGTGTTCTTTGAGTATGGAACCTTTCCAGTTACTTATGGGCAGTGTACTCCAAAGCTATTGAGGAAGACAGTAGTTGGAATTATGTCGAAATGAAAATAGGATGGGATAATAAAGTGCTCAAAAAACAACACAATGCAACACCACACGCCGGAAGTGGCCGGTCAGTAGTTTTCCAATATCTTTTGGACAATACGGGGGAAATCTGAATGAAGTAATATTCACTTTTTGTAATATTTCCACGTATTCACGAAAAGGATGAACTATTTTATTTTATTTATTACTTACCATGAGTATTATAAATGATGTAAATGATGAAAAGACATATTTTGTAATCCGAGCGAGTTAGACTATTCATGACTTCGATTCCTAAATGTACTTGACACTGCTGTTTTGACGTGTCAACTACATTTAGGAACTCTAGATTGTATTAGTTAGAGTCACTGGATTATAATACCATCCAGTATATAAGAGTTCGGACACAGCTGTACATTGTCTTTTTCTATTTTCGATATTACAATGGTTTGAGTGAATAAAAAAATAAGACATATATTCTGCTCTTACTGAATGTATGATAAATTGATATTGATTATTTTGCATTTTTTTTATCCAAAACATAGCTCGAATTGAATGTATTTTTCTGCGGTATTTGGATTCTTAGGAACATGATATATGAATTCGAAGGAAATTTAGTCATCTTTCAGGATATTTCATAATATACAGGGTGTTCCATTTGAAAAAACGCAATTTCAACCCTTTTTTATATCTAGCTGTAAGATCATGAATTTTGAACGACCCTGTATAAAGCAGAACAAACTTCTCTCTACAGAATCAATAAACATAATCTTGATGAACTAAACACAAAATTGCAACTTCCTAAGAATCCAAATACCGCAGAAATATACATTCAATTCGAGCTATGTTTTGGATAAAAAATATGCAAAATAATCAATATCTCCAAAACCGTTAGAGATAGGTATAGGATAGTATGGAGCAGAAATAATCAGAAAGTGATGATGAGTTAAAAAATGCGGTAATATACAGGGTGTCCCATTTGAAATAACAAAGATGCTGGTACTTTCTGGTATAAGCGACAACGCCGCATTGCTGAAAATATTTTAGATGGCTCAAGATCAATTCTTTCTCGGTTTATTCAGAGGATTTTCGTTTTTCATGTTCTCTTTTTGTATGTTCAACGATAGTCAATGAAACGAACATTCAGAAACAGAAAATTGCCTCCTTCTGGTGGTACATTGTACAGGGTGATTCACCATAAATTTCCCCCCCTCTAGCTCACTTATTTTTGAATCTATCTAAAAATTTGAAAAATCATCTTAAATGATTTTTCAGAAGTTTTTTCCCGTTGCATCAGAAAATACAGGGTGCTCGGACCAAACGATCTACAGAGTACTATACTTGATTTTTTCAAATGGAACACCCTGTATTTCATTTTATTTTTATATTCTCCCTGAAGAGCTGATTTCATCAATGCATCACACTTGGGGTCTAGCGGGAATGATTACAGAGATATGGGGTGTTCAAAATCGAGATTTTTCAACTTTAGGATTTTTTTGTGTCGAAACTATTCATTATTGGTCAAAACGGCTTCAATGTTCCTATCTCAACTTTTGATTTACTATCTACTGACATTCAATTGGAACATATACAGTGTGATTCAAGATTAAGAATTCTGACCACCCTGTATCTGTTCCAATTAATAAATGTCAGTAGATAGTGAATCAAAAGAGAGATACGGACATGGAAGCCGTTCTGACCAATGATGAATAGTTTCAACACAAAAAAATCCCAAAGTTAAAAAAAACTCGATTTTGAACTCCCTATATCTCTGTAATCATTCCTGCTAGATCCCAAGTGTGATACATTGATGAAATCAGCTCTTCAGGGAGAATATAAAAATACAATGAAATACAGGGTGTTCCATTTGCAAAAATCAAGTAGTACTCTGTAGATCGTTTGGTCCGAGCACCCTCTATTTTCTGATGCAATGGAAAAAAAATTCTGAAAAATCATTTTAGATGATTTTTCAAATTTTCAAATCGGTTCAATAATAAGTGAGCTAAAGGGGGGGACATTTATGGTGAATCACCCTGTACCAGTATTTCATCTGACGAAGCTACTGTGTTAGCGAAACATGTTGTGTGTTCGAGAATTTTGTGGAAATCTTATCGTTTTGTTATAAAACACCCAGTATATTTTGTAACGCCTTTTTCTCCTGTTTCAAAAAAATATGAACACGATTGTTTTTTGAGCACTTTAGTTATCAAGATCCCACATACTTTGACCATCTTTTCCACTCCTGAAGATGCGATCAATTTGTTGTGATTGTTGTAACGAACTTGATTGACTATAGATCTGTGTCCTCGCAGCACCATATGAGAGGCTCCCCATTCAGCTACAAAAATGAATTATGAAAAATTACCGATTTTACTAACCTACGTTTTTCCCAAGTTTGTTTTTAAAGATATAGTCCAATAAATAAAGGGAAAAAGTTAACATTAATTACGCACTATTTTCATCTTCCAGTTGTAAGTAGCTTTTGGTACCTCATTAAACATGAGACAAAGTTTGACTGGAAAACGCGTGCGATGGCGGAGAAAACGGCCCCAAAAGACCAGGAAAATAGGTTTTCAGTCAATATCTCCTAAAATATGGCAGTTAGAGATTTTCGTTTCAGATAAAAATTGAAGTTCAGTTAATTTTCTACAAAAATGGTCCTTATCATTTTTCTCGAAAATTTGCCCGGTTTCGAGAAAAACGGCACGAAGCGCACCTCGAATAGTGAGCTTCTGTGGTGTATGCCGGAGAGCACAGTTCGTGTATTTACACATCGGCGGGGGGACAAATTATTCAATGACTTTGTTAAAAATGCATATTTTCTCATGATTCAAAGTTCATATGAAAGAGGAATTCTGCTGCTATTATACCCTGTGAATTGAGTTACGCTTGACTCTTTTGGCCATATCGGAACATGGGTCAAACTTTCTGCTCCCGGTCAATTTTGACCTCGCCAGGAATTTGTTCCTATTTTTTTTGTAATGCACTAATTAACTCAAAATTTTCTTGATTATGGGCCCTCATAAGGTCCTTTGTCATCCCTGAAATTTGTATGCCCTAAATTTTTTTAATTTTCATTTGATCTTTGTTTATTGAATCCCAATTTTTTGCTGTTTTTGGAGCGCGGGGAAATTTTGTGAACAACCATCAATTAAAAATTTATACATGATCCGATTGGTTTCTATGATACATTATTTGAAAGCTAAGAAGGTCTAGTTTTCGATTGTGCAATTACTTTTTTAGACGAAGTCGTCCATTTTTCAATGAAATTAGAAAAAGCGTGGTCAAGGAAAAAACGCACTTTTTTTCGGTGGTTTTTTTCTCCGTGCTATTTATTTCTAACATTTTAACACCTTAACTAGTGTAACGGGGAAATTCCTACCTTTCCATCGATGTATATAAGTCATTCCTTTGATATCTCGGGAAAAAACTAGTATATCTAAATGTACACGCTATAATTTATTACTTTCGTTCCTCCGTCGTTCGCCGCGTGTGTGCTCTACGTGGCGCTCGGGTCGTCTGCTACAAACTATGCGGCCACGCAGGGTATGATAGCAGCAGAATTCCTCTTTCACATGAACTTTGAATCATGAGAAAATATGCATTTTTAACAAAGTTATTGAATAATTTGTCCCCCCGTCAATGTGTAAATACACGGACTGTGCTCTCTGGCATACAACACAGAAGCTCATTATTCGAGGTGCGCTTCGTACCGTTTTTCTCGAAACCGGGCAAATTTTCGAGAAAAATGATAAGGACCATTTTTGTAGAAAATTAACTGAACTTTAATTTTTATCTGAAACGAAAATCTCTAACTGCCATATTTTAGGATATATTGACTGAAAACCTATTTTCCTGGTCTTTTGGGGCCGTTTTCTCCGCCATCGCACGCGTTTTCCAGTCAAACTTTGTCTCATGTTTAATGAGGTACCAAAAGCTACTTCCAACCGGAAGATGAAAATAGTGCGTAATCAACGTTAACTTTACCTTTTTTTCCTCCTTCATTTATTGGACTAATAAGCAAGTTTCAGATAGGAGTGTTCACAACCTATGAACACAACAAAGTTTATGGTGCTTTATAAAACCCAACTGTGAACTGTACAGTGCACTCCATTTTAGTTGTCACTGCCAGATTTCTCGGTTGTTCTTAGAGATAGAACTGTTCGGTTTTCACGTTCCTGTCCAACTTTTTTGTGAAAATCAGGATGGCCTAATTAGTTTTTGCATAATTGTTTCCCTTTATGAGGTACAGGGCGATTTTGAAAATGTATACTTTTTGAACCCCTCCTATAATATCTACTATCTAACTAACAGGGAATTTTTCGCGGAATTCAGTGGCGTACTCCATTATTATTTTCGAGGTATGGTTTTGGAGATACGACACAATCTTATGTAATTCGTTATTTGTTCCCTTTCAAGATGTTGTATAATACTTTATATATATTGACTGTCCAGAAATGCTGAAAAACACTAAAACATTAAATGATGATGAGTTTTTCTTAGAGGGTCATGGATTTTCCAAAGTTTACTTAAAGGGTTATTATGTGTGATTCATTATATACCGGGTGTCAACGAATCTATTAGACAAGTCATAACTTCTAGACCATTAGGTGTATCAAAATGAGATTTGGTGTAGGTAAATGGTATGTGAAGAGGAGAGTTTTCACATATTTTTCACTTTCCGGTCACTTCCGGTTTCACCGGAAATGGCTCCAGTTCTAAATTTTTGAATGGAACACCCTGTATATTGTAACATTTTTGGATTTCTGAGACAATTCTAGATCAGAATGTGACATTTTCGAAAGTTTTTATGCCTACTTCATTTTTTCGGAGTCACTTTTAAAATTACATCTAGGTTGCCATGATCGGAAGTAAACTAATCTATAAGGACCTCGGGTGATATCAGAAAATTACAATCGCGAAGTTTTAGTGACAAGTATAATAGATATGAATAAAACAAGTTGGTAAAATTACATTTTCGTGTCTAACTATTATTTTTCAAATGGCGACCATTTTTTAAGTAGCACTTTCCGAAAAAAGGATATTTTGACGAATCTAACGATACTAATTTATTTGCGATTGGATTACAAATGAGATCATAAATTAAATAAGACTGTCGAAAATACTTCATAATAATTTATTTACTTTTGTCAAGTGTGCCGAGGATAGGCATGATGCATAATATTTTGCAGTTATTTCGATCAAGTCTTCTTGGGAGAAGAAAACACTCACTTAGGTTATGACAGTGACATAAGGTTCCATTTATAAATCTAGGACCGGAGCCATTTCCGGTGAAACTGGAAGTGACCGGAAAGTGAAAAATATGTGAAAACTCTTCTCTTCACATACCATTTACCTATACCAAATCTCATTTTGATACATCCAATGGTCTAGAAGTTATGACTTGTCTAATAGATTCGTTGACACCCGGTATACAGGGTGTATCTAAATAACACCGAAAAAATTCAAGGGGTGTTTGTGACCTCCTAGCAAATAAAGTTCATATAAACATGTGTCTTAATTTGCTCCATTTTTGAGATACAGGATGGTGAAGTTGGAAGTAGGTACTTATTGTTTTAATTTATAACACCCCTGTATAAGCTTCCATGGTGCCAAATTTCAGTATTGATGGAGACTGAAAAAGCCCCAAAATTTCAAAATGATTCTAATTGGGGTTATTTAGTAATCTCAATGGAAGTCTTGAAAACACCTACATTAAAATTTTGAGACAAATCGAATTCTTATTGTTTCCCCAAAAACTAAGCTAGATACAAAAACCACACAGGGGATAAAAAAGTTGTTATTTCAATAGTTCAATCCGATAAAAATATGAAACTCAGAAAAACCAGTGGTCTACAATGAAATTCACCATGAATATCGATAAATTTACCCACTGGAAATATTATTTCGAATTTGATTGCACTAGAAGAAGCCCCATATTACTATTTACAAAACTACAAGGTTTTATTGAAATTGATGAAAAGACAATTGAGAAATGAATAAAAAATATTTTTCATGGAAATATTAATACCCTGTATCTCGAAAACAAAGCAAGTTAGGACACATGTTTATATGAACTTTATTTCCTAAAATATCACAAAGAATCACCCCTTGAATTTTCTCGGTGTTATTTAGATACACCCTGTAATCAACTCTTCTTGATTTCCCCTATCCACCATTTGGCTATGTGTCTCCTCATGAATCACCCTGTAAATTACAACTGCAAGACCATATGTATTAATTTTTTTGAGAACTTAAAAATCAAAATGTCGAACTGAATTGAAGTAAATAGATCAAATTGCCATTCACGAAAATATAAATGGCGTAAACATTTCATCATTTCCAGATTCATATAGTTACTTTTTTTCAAATGTGGCATACTCACAATCATCCGTAGGCACCTTCCACATATAAAGATTGAAATCGTCAGACCCGCTCAAGATATATTCATCATTTTCGCCAGCAAAACAGCAAGTTTTCATGGTACAAGAGTTGTAGTACTGGGGGTGATAGAATTGACACACAGAACTTTCAGATTCTGCATTGTACAAGACAGGAGGCAGACGTCTTCTCAAAGCTAGGACTTTCTTACCGGTGCAGTCAAAACAGGCACTGATACCATTAGTTTTGCCACTCTGAGAGTCATAGTGTAGGAGTTGACTGCAAAAATATCTGCTTAAAGAAGCTTATTCGAGCTGGGGAAATACTTGCCTCTTAGGTTTTCTACAGTCCCAGAGTTGAATGCCTTCTTCTGAATTGGCAGTAACTAGATAACGAGGTTTTAGTGGGTTGAACTTTACTGAGTGAAAACCACTGTTATGTTCAGCTACAACTTGGGCATCTGTTGATAAATCAACAAGATGTTATTTTTGTATCATCACTTGACTTTATTTTTTTTCCACATCTATACATACCCTGACTTGTATCCCTAACATCAAAAAGTAATATTCTTCCATCTTCCCCTGCTGTAGCTATAATATTGTTGTTTTGGGGGTGTATACTGATTCCATATACTGGTTTTTCATGTGGAATAGACCCTATTGAAGTTATCCTAAAAAAATTGTGAAGTGTTTAACATCTTCACAATTTTAGACATAATTCACAGTAATCTCTAAATTTACCAAAGGATTTCTAGATTTTTTCAATGATTTAGTGTTTCCCAGAAAATGTAGAAACTGGATGTGACATATATATTTCACAAAACCATCTCTAGAATTCACTGAAGGATTTCTAGATTTTTCAATGATTTATAGTGTTTTTTACAGAAGATGTAGAATTTTAATACACTGAGATGTATTCCCCATAACTTTTCCCATTTTCCACAAATTAGTTCCTTTTCACTAAGTAATTATAAATAATCAATAATAAAGTACTGCTGATTATTCCCTATTTTATGGTTTTCATATTACTTATTATAATTTTCAGATCAGATGAGATCAAATCAGATATATTATCAAGTGTATTGGTCCTACCTATATTGAGTATTTTAGCTCCTATCCAAAAATGATAGGTAATACCCATGCATAACAATCAAAGAATATATCTATTATATCTACTTTAACTCTATTTGAACTAGGTACCTATGTAACTCAACTATTCATTATAAGTTTCTAGATATAGGTATTTTTTCAATTTTGAAAAGAGGAGAAAAACTGTGGTTCTTTTTAACATATATAAGGTTTGTTAATCTGTGCTATAGGTATATTCATTTTTTGCCTAGGATGAAATATGTACATGAATTAAGAAATGAGGAACTCTGAATATTCATGTTGGATAAATTATCTTACGTATGGACTTCATGGATGAGAACTTGGTCATCATTGCCCCCAGAAAATATTTTCTCATTGTTTGAATCAAAAGTGAGACAAAAAATGTTACTTCTATGTGTAGTACGCATCACCACAGGAGCTCCCTGATCATAAATAGCTAAGGGTACAGTCCACATGAGCACCCTTTTATCATCACCCCCTAAAATAAATCAAATACAGAAAAATCGAGAGAAAAATATATAATATTATAATAATATTTCGATTTTTTGACCATACATATTTTCATATTTGAAGAATTTATATTATTTACCTGAGATGAATCTTGAAATGAATATAATTCAACTCACCTGAAACTATGAATTCTCCATCTACTGAGAATTCCACTGCATTCACACACCCATAATGGGACACCAAGTCCTTTCTGAACAAATTTCTTGCATTGGCAAATCGTGCACTGAACAAGTTGTTTTTTATGAAAATATTATCACTATACTGTCTCTCAGTCAAATAACGCACTGGATTTATGCAAGAAGGAATAGCCATTTTCACATACGTGCAAAAATATTCCCCAAAGATGGTCTTTGTTGACAAAAATTATGTGACTTTTTACCAGATGACAATTTCTTAGATAATGTCAGGAACAGCTGATGTTTGTGTTTATTTTTTCTTTCATCCTTCATCAGGAAACTTGCTAGAAACTGGGAATGAAAATCTGATTCAGATAAGAAAAGGTTAATAGATATTAGTTCAAATGTCTCCAAAAATGTTTCTATAAAAACAGAAGATTTTCTACAGCAAGTTTTTAACCTCATTTTTTTTTCATTTCTGCTGACGTGCTGATATGATATGACCTAATGACGTTTGTAATCTTGTAATTATTATTTATTTTGAATTTTGTATGTCTTTCGTTGCCTCTTTCTCCTGCTTTTCTCGCCGATTTCAATTTTCAAATTATGAGTAACATTGAGAGAAAACTCGCTGAATATAGAGCTAAGAAAAGGACAAAAAGTACCCCAGCAAGTGGTTTTTGGAAATCCTTGTTTACAAAATCAGATAATAAAATTGCTGATCAGGTACTAATTTTTTATAATTGTGGATGTATTCTTTATGATCGAAATATATTTTTAGGATGCCAAAGAGAATCTGTTGGGTGAATCTTCAACTAATGAAAAGTTTGTAGATACTGTTGACAGCACATTTGATGATGGTGAAATAGATACCCTGAGCCTTAAATAGTGATATAGATGATTCCTCCATAGACTGTTGTACATACACAGACATAATTTACTACTCTTTATGCTTCCTACTGTGGGCAATTTTATGGGCAATATTCATCAAACTCCAGTTTGGTACAGTTTATTTCATAGTATCTGGACTGGTTGGTATATACCTGAATACCAGAACCAGACCCAAAGAAAGGGGAGAGATCAGTGCTTACTCAGTTTTCAACAAGGATTGCAAAAGTATTGATGGAACTCTGAAAGCAGAACAGTTTGAAAGGGAAATACGTTATGGAGCTGGTAGCATGCATTGACATCAGTGAAATGAAGTACCATTATGGCACAGCTATGAGGTGAGTTATTGTATTAGTTGATTATGTTTATTATAGATCTAGTTATAGATTTTCTCCTACTCTGCATTTTTCCTGTATATCTATACATTTCCATGAACTTACCAAACTTGCAGTATCATTGATGCAGTTCATGGCTAAGATGCAAATATCCAGAGTGTAGATTGTTTTTTGATCAGAGTGATGACATCATAAGATAAGTAGGGCTGTATTCATGCCAGATTCATGCATCCAATTTACCCCTTTTTCACCCCAAAAATCGATAAAAAATCGGAAATGTCATTTTGACTAGGATAAAAATAAGGTTATTGATTTTTTTTTCATAACAAAATACAAATGGATTCATGGATTCTCTAGTGGATTCTCCTGATTTTGTGGCATCCAATTTACCCTAGAATTTACCCCTTATTCAGTCCAAAAGCCGGAACTGAATCAGAAATCTGTCTTTTTGAATAGGAAAATATACCTATCTTTCTGTGGATTTTTCTCATAAAAGAAATGGATTGATAGTGTTGTCTGATTATGGCCCATACATTTCATCATTTTTTCACTCTAAAAATAAAAAAACTCGGAAATTTTGAATAGGAAAATATATACTTTCCCAAAAAAATTAATGCACTATCAAAAAGTATCCAAAAGATACATTTTTGTGAAAACTACTTGTCTGATTTGGACGTTTTTTGTTTTGAATGATAGGCCATCTCCTTCTGAATAATGGCATGCAAACTGTATTGGCATCATAACCTCTTTTTTATGAATACCCAGTGTAGCAATTAAAGTGTATTTTTTTCATGAAATTTGTAATACCCTGTAGAGTGTAACAGTCACATTATCAAGTTAAAATTGAAATTACACTTTAGCCTTATATTTTTTCAACATTCCTTTTTTTACTCCATTATCTTTCCTATTACTTCAGAAACACAATGTTATAATATATGATTTCATTGAATTCAATGAGCATTATAAACAATAGTAGCAGGCTATGGTCTGAGGCACTTATCTGACTGGGCCCATGGACCTTGTGATCATAAATGGAAGCCTTACAGTTGAACCTTGAGTTGAAGGGTACATATTGTCTGTAGGTTAATCCAGTTGGTTGTGACCAAGAATGGCCATTAACAATTATCAATGTATCATCAGCATATGAGAAAATATGTCCATCAATATCTGTTTTTAATATGTCATTAATATAAATGAGGAAAAGTATTGGACCTAGAACAGTTCCTTGAGGAACACCATGAATAAGATGTGTATTTTGGCTGAATGTATCTTGTAATTTTGCAAATTGTTATATTCATTATTATATTGATGATTATTAAAATCAATATTAATTATCAATGGTGTCTTTGATTATGTTCTATTTATTTCACCACTTTTTCACCTTGAATAATATGCATAGTTGTATTATCTCTGTTGTATTCATAGCACTATAGCAAGTATCTCAAGATAACAAAATGAACACAATTATCCAATCAAATAATTTAGTGGGATTAAGCTCAATATGAAATTGCTCCATTCAATTCATGTATGTATCTATGTGAAAATTGGTGAGAACACTTTGAGTTCCAGACCATATCAATGCAAAATGTACTTCAATACAATAACTTTGGAAGATTCTGCTTCAACAGATTTAGTTTATGATCAATTATCAACAAATGAGGAACCACAAACATCATCTAAAGTTTCTTCAGAGGAAATAACTAATATATCTGATGAGAAATCCAGTCATACTGTAAGTATAATGAAATAAAAACAAAATAGGCACCTAAATAGGCACCTACTTTACACATTTTCAATTTTGTAGGTTAATAATGATGATATATTATCACAGAAACGAGGGACCACAAACATATCGATATATATAGATGATTTTGAAAATGATCACTGGAATCAGATGGATATGATATACTGCACCATGTGTTTTTCAATTTGGATTATTCTCTTGTCATTCTATCTGCCAATCAGCAATGTTACTATATATCTATTAGTAACAGCTTTAATAGGAGTATATCTTAATGTCAGCGCAATGTCATTGAAAAAAGAAGTTTCAGTTATCACAGAAAACTGCAAATGTCAATCAAAACAGTCTACTGATACTATTATTATTATTTAATAATTTTACAATACATTTTTATTCTTACTGATTGTTCACAAATACTTGAGAATCAATGCAATGCAATGTATTAATTCATGATTCAAAATTTGAAAGTTTTAACAAAACACTTTTTATTTTTCTTGCTTCATATGTGACAGTTTCTTTACCATTCGGACTGTCATTTGCTTCTGATAGAGAAGAATATGCAACAGTTCGTACACTCTTACCATACACTAAAATGAAATAAAAAATTACTATTTTCAATATAGTTTGTGGATTATTTCACTCACTTTCACAGCTTTCTAAAAACTGTATGCATTCTTGTATGATTGAATCTCTCAGCACAATCATATGCTTTGACAAATTCTCTATTAGGCTCAAAAAACACCTTTTAGCATAAAACCATGAATCAGTACCCAATTTTTTATCATAAGGTTCCAGAGACTTTATTACTCTCGATATCCCAAATTCGTAGTTTCCTTTTGAACAGTAAAGAGTCCTGAAAACAAATGATTCCTAGAGACCAATTTAGGGGATCATATCGACATTTTACCCTATTACTAAGTTGACAATACAGTGGTGAAAAAATTTTTTTTCTGGTTCCTCGTAAGAAAGTTGGTCTTCTTCCTTCTCGATTTTCCTCATGAGTTCCTCAGCTTCTTCATTTTGGGAGGTCATTATGTAGGAGACACATAGGTTTGCCAGAACTATGGCATTCACATTCAAAATCTGAAAATAAAAGAGATTAGATAATCAAGAACGGTGGTTTTCGAATTTCTCCAAATTATACCTCGGCATAACTTTTCTTGACAAGAGGTTCGTAGAATCCAGTTGCCTCCTTGAATTTATTTTCTTGCATGAAAAGAACATGCGCCACATTGAGTCTCCAAATGTCATTATCGTTGCAGAATTCGACGCTCTTTCTGAATATTTTTTCCACTTGCGCGTAGTTTTTCAGGTCCCAGTATATCTTAGCCTGAGCCATCAGAACTGGAACATACCTATTTCCATAATTATAATAGCCATCACGTTACAGAAACATAATTCTTTTCTATGTATACAGGGTGTATGCTATGACGGAATTCCCATTTTAAAAATATCTTACCGTTTTCGAGATATTTTTGTTGTTGAAAATATTGAATTTTTGCACCTTTTTGGTTCATTTTTACAGTAAATATTGCTGAAGAATGATTTTAACGTATACAATAAAAACATTCTCCGAACATTTTAAAGGGGGGCTGTGAGAAATATTTTTATTGAAAACTTTGGTAGTGGAAATTAAAAAAAAGAATCTCGAAAACGGTGAGACTTTTATAAGGGGAATTTTGTCATATGCAGATGGGTTATTCTTTGATCTAGAGTCCCTGTATGTATTTGACAGTTTTGCTGTAATTAGTGTACGGACACTATGACAAGCTGTGACAAAAGGCATAACCCCAAATTCTTAAAATGACTTTGAAGGTTTGGTTGAACAAAGACATGGATATGCTTTTCCATGCACTCCGGATCTTCTTTCCTCTACTGCCGCGGTGAAGGGTACATCCATATATCTTTCTCTGTCTTTCTTGTCATAAAGAAGTGGCGTTTCATCTGACTGGCCAAAAGGGGTCATAGTTTGTAACTTAATTTATTGATAGGATTCCTTGATATACTTAACAAAGGGGGATATGTAGCTGTTGTTTATCATGGGGGAAATGGAATAAATAACATGATTCTCTTCTATTCTTACAGTTTTCAACTACGCAATTAGCCATTTTATTTAATTCAATGTCATATACGTCCATGAATTGTCAGTGCCCGCCAAATTGGTCATCTCATTTAAATTTTTTTAGGGTTATGCCTTTTGTCACTGCTTGTCATAGTGTCCGTACTCTTATTCGCGGGAATCAATGTTACCAGGTGGCGCTCGGTTTTCATCGTTCCATGTCAAATCCACGTCAAAACTGGGGGACAACAAACTCAATCCTCACTCAATCCCATTAGTGCCATTAGCTTGTGTACTGTGTACTGATAAGAGTGATAAGTTTTCAAATTTCTTGACATTAATTGTCAATATTGGATCGACAACCCTAATAATGCCTGTTGTAGATTTTCTTTTGGCAGATAAATTGCTCTATTTAGATGGAAAAAGCCGACCAGTAGTGGAAGGAGAAGCAGTTCTCCGTGCTGATCATGTGATTTAGTGTGAGGCAGAAGACTTCAACAAAAGGCACATTTTTGCCCTTTGTCTACAAACTTCGGCGATGAAATCTTCCCCACATGAAGTATAATTGAAGTTGGGGTCCAGATGAACTCCTGTAGAACAATGGATTTGTATTTGTTCCTGCAAAGCAGGACAATCTGGGTATTGTAAACATGTTGTAGCTTTTCTTTTATATGTCAATTGATTTGCTCGTAATAGTAAGTTTGAATTGTTTGAACTATCTTCAATTCTTCACCCGTTCACGGTTCACTGAACTGATAAAAATGTAATAATGTAAAAAAATTAACCAACTCAACCATCATCACTACCAACAGTGCCAACACAGTGACTACAGCTACAGCAAGCTGAATGCAATGTAGTCTATGCACTTTATCCATAGACAACAGTTTGTTTTCCCCCAGTTTGAAGTTCGTATTATGTAACCTAGATGTCGCCCACTTCGTGAAGCTCGCGAATTACAGCAAAACTGTCAAATACATACAGGGACTCTACTTTGATCTACATTCTCCCTAGGTTTGACGTGATCTTTACGGGACACCCTTTTTACCTTTCCAAACATTCCTCGTAGTCCATAACGGTTTTTTTGATCAGCTCAGTATCGTTTCTGTTCCTGTGCTCCTGCACTTGTTTGGTGAGTTTTCTGAGCTGCTCAGAATGTCTACTGGCCAGCTCATCCAACTTTTGATATGCCTCAGTTGGGGATGTTTGTTGGGTTATTATGGCGTCCAAAAAATCATACAGGTACTGAAAATCGACGTTATAACTATTACATGATGTTGGGCAAATAAAACAAATTCCTCAATTCAAAAAGCGTTTCTTTGTCGATTATACAGGGTGTATCAATAACACCGAAAAAATTCAAGAGGTGATTCCTTGTGACATTTCCATGAAAATTTTTTTTTTCTGTGACGGGAAAAAAGTTTGGCATTTCATCTCTGTTGGCAGGTTATAAAATGTCACTTTTCATAAATTACTTTTTTCCTGTGGGAAAAAAGTGAGTACTTTTCTCCCGGATATATGTCAATAAAATATCAACATTATATAGAAAATCGTTAAAAGTATTGTATCGTCTCCCATTTGATACACCAACCAATCAATTGTTTGAAATAACAAATACGTATTCTTTAGATGAAATATATAGAATTGAAACTCTCAAAATATCATATAAGTCGAATTTTATGTTGATACGGAATTCTGAAATTCATAATCATGAAACAAGACAATATAACTTGTTTCATCTTGACGCCGCTAGCTCCATTATCGAAAAAAAAAGATTCACTCATTCAGCCTTAACTGAATTCAATAAACTACCTGACAATATGAAAAATTGCAGAAATATAGGTTCATTCAAAAATGAAGTGAAAAAATTGATTATTTCTGAGCGAACTGGATAAAATTGAACATGCCATTTTTTTTTTACAAATATTATTCTTTGTTTGTCAATTTACAGTTGTTGATATATTTTGTATAATGATATGTTTACCCATAGGTATATAATTATGTACTTCCTTATACCAGACTTACCAGAGCCTATTCTGTCTGGAAGTTATTTGTTCAATAAATAAATAAATAAATATATATACACTGTTGATGGCTTCTGTTGTGCTATAGTTCCGAAAAATGAGTCAATAATACAGTCTCCGAGAAAGAACTGCAAGTCCATTTATCTTCCATTCGACTTCGCGGTTACGTATATTACTAAACAAGCACTAAATTCGCAATTTTTTAAATCAAATCACAGAATTAGAATGACAGAAGTGACATCAGATATTTGATTACTTCAAAAGAATGATAAAGATGCCTACAACGCAGGTGTCCCTACTGTTAAAAACTTAAAATTTCACGTCGATAATTTTCAGATTTCGTCATCCATCGAATTGCACTATCCATTGTGAACATTAAGAAATATTGAAAAATAATAATTGATTGTTATGTAAATCCCTCTAAAGCCTTTAATTGATATGATGTGGGAAACAATTGTTGTCATGTCAATCAAAACACAAATTAGTTAGTGTAATTTTCAGAGTGACAGACAGGGAGTTACTGTCATTTTCGATTCAGTGGAATTGCGATGAAAAACTTCCAGCTACAGATGCGATACAGATGAGTTATTGCCAAAGAAGTCTTAAGAAAGGTATGAGAAGCACTACAAAGGATTTATTGAATGGTGCAATAGTTAAAAATTGAAAACACCAAATAAAGAAGAAGCATTTTTGGCTCATTTCTGAGAATTGTCTGAAATCTAGAGGCCAAACGCCATGGGCATGCTGGCTTTCGAAATCAGCTTACCTACATAATGCTTCAAACGGTACACACAATAGATATATCACTAATTATTACACGATATATAGAGAACATATAACTATTGTTAGTTTTTCCTATTTGCAGGAATAATTGATTGAACAAATCAATCAATTTCCTACGCTTGTAGAAAAAATATTGTTCCTAACTCATGCGGAAAGTGTCTTTGCCGCACTCTACTGCTTACTCGAACGACGCGTGCGGGATAGTGTAACTTTCCGCACTTGTTATGAAAATTATAATAATAATAATATTTATTTCACTTGTTAAACCGTATGAAAGCGTTACAATAAACATTTACGTACAGTAACAAGGAATACGTCTGTGTATAAATAAGAGAGTAGGAGATAAATATATATATATAGAAAAAAACGAACATTTTATATAAAGCGACAAAACTTGACACCTATTAATTTGGACATATACAGATGGGTGATTTATTGATTATCGTGAGTTACTAAAACTCGTCAACGGTGTAGCAGTTTCTTTCTATGAGATATTTTTTTAATTGTCTTTTGAATATGGAGATATTCTTTGAATCCTTGATAGAAACATCTAGCTTGTTGAATAGTTTGGGTCCAAGGTAGAGGTGACTCCTCTGATAAAGGGAGGTTCGGTGAGGGTTTGCTATCAGCAAACCTCTTGCTCTCGTTGGATAAGGGTGGTCTTGTTGGTTTGCCCTAAATTTATCTCTATTCTTATAAACGTAGAGACATATCTCATATATATACAGAACAGCAACTGTGAGTATTTCCAGCTCGCTAAATGAGTTTCTGCATGATTGTCGCCATCCTAAATTAGCAATTATTCTGACCGCGCGTTTTTGTAGAATGAATACTCTTTCAACAGAAGAGCTCATACCCCAATTTAGGATTCCATAGCGCAGGTGACAGCCAATAGTTGCATAATACAGATTTAGCAGGACCTCTAGTTCTAGTTCGAAGTAGTTCTTACCGGCGTCAAATATTTGTACGTCAAATGAGCATTTTCCGCCAGAATTTCCGCGGCCAAGTCGTAGCACTCGTGCTGGCAGTAGAGCAGCAGGATGTTGGCGAACGTTTCTGGCGGGAAAGGGTTCTGCTGCAACAGGAATTGCAGCTTCTCGAAGCCCTCTGTCGGATTCTGGTCGAAATTCATCAGCGCTTGGTTGTGGAGCGTGACAGCGTCCAGTTCGTACTCTGCCCTAGGCGGCATGTCTGTCAAAGCTTCTTTCGCCGCGTCAACTATAGGAATTACAATGACAGGTACTTCTTTTACTTTAGACAGTGTTGCCGTCCCTCATTGCATTAAACCAAAACTGGATGATTGAAAATGCCGCTAAATGAAAAAGTCGCTCACTAGCAACTGGCAACACTGACATTTTCTCAGTTGTTTTATCACTCGATTACACTCGATGAACAGGGTGTCTCAGCATAGCAGGATTACGATCATCGATACAAAACCTCACTTGAATAAAATAAATGTTCCTATTTACAAAAGGCTTTGTTTGCGAGACATTGGGCGTCAAAGTTGAGATAAAAATAAATGTTTCTGTTGAACTTTTAGGAAAAAAAACATGGGCATGTAATTTTATAGAAAAAAGGACCATTCGTGAAAATGCATGGGCTGAAATGATTTCGATAAAATAACAATCAAATTTGACTACTTTATTTGATTTTTGTGCTGGAAAGTCGATTCAAGACATTATTATTATGTTAAGTCACTTTAGGCCGACTTTAGGCTTATCCACTATATTTTGCACTTTCGCGAAAATCCTCACTGACAATGTGAACTGTTAACCTTACAATTTTAATTTGATAAGTGCCGTTGAGTGTTTACTAGAAAAAAATACAACTGGTGGAGAATAATGAACAGAATCCTACGAAGAAATAATTAAAAAAATCAACTAAGGAAGAGCCAAAATGCTCAAAGTGGAATTAGATGTTAAATGAATTCTCAAAGCTCAAAGTCATTTCCACAAAAATGTTAATAAATTAACGAAATTGGTTGATACTGAGAGAAAAGCAACTACTTCCCTGGCCATATGCCACGCAGGACATTGAATTATATCCTCTAGAATACTATGCAATGATACTTATAGATTTGATATCTCCAAGGCACTTGTTATCTCCAAGGCATTCGATCGAGTCTGGCACCACGGACTCCTCGCCAAGCTTCCATTTTATGGCTTGACTCCCCAGCTATGTACTCTGCTAGCTAGTTTTCTCTCAAACAGGTATCTCCATGTAGTGGTCGACGGAGTTTCATCTGACCCTCTTATAATAAATGCGGGTGTTCCGCAAGGATCACTTCTAGCACCAACACTATTTCTACTCCATATCAACGATTTTTTGAAAGCAACTTCATGTCCAGTACACAGCTTCGCGGATGATAGTACCCTCCATACCGTCTTCTCTTCCAGGGCTCCAATACCACCAAGGCAAATCAGAAACGAACGAGGAAGAAATTTTGACAACATAAATATGGACTTGGCAACAATTCTCGAATAGGGATCCAATAACTTGGTAGATTTCAATGCAAACAAAACACAAGCCTGCCTTTTCTCTAGAAAAGCCGATCTCACTGTGCCCAACATAAGCTTGACAGGAGTAACCATACCTTTGATGACATCCATTTCGATGCTTGGTATTACTATCAGCAATAACCTTTCTTGGTAAAATCACGTGAGATCAATTGCTTAAAGTGCATCCCAAAAACTTGGTTTTCTGTTTCGGGCCAGGAGCTATTTCACTCCCAGTCAGCTGTTTATGATCTATGAGGCACAGATCCGACCTGTCCTGAAATACTGTTCCCATATTTGGAGTGCAGCACCCAAACATGCCCTGAAACTTTTGGATTCTGTCCAAAAAAGGGCAATTCATCCCGTGGGTGATGCCTCGCTCACAAACTCACTCACTTCTCTGGAACACCGTAGGAAAGTTGACGATCTGGCTCTATTTTATAGATATTTTCATGGACGATGCTCTTCTGAAATATCAACAATTGTTTCTCCCTTGGCAGTCTCCGCGAGATTAACCAGTCGAGTTGAGGCTTCGCACCCCTTAGTGGTCACTTTGGAGACCTGCACAACATCTCCTTCCAAAGACTCGTTCATCCAACGAACAGCGAGGCTCTGGAGCACATTACCAAGGGAGGTGTTCCACGAGACATATAACCTCCAGAAATTTAAGAACACCAATTCCTACCTTATTTCCCTTGGTTCTCACGATGTTCTCTGAACATTACAGGATATCCTTTTTCGTGGGAACCAGAACATAAAAAAGATCAAAATCGTAAGTGTTTTCTGCCATGATACTGAATTATGCTCCAATTGTGCTCAAATTGTGTCAGCAGTGCACGGTTGTCTCCAAAAATGGAGTGTTTCTTTTCTATCTCAGATGGCGTTCGTCCATCTCGCAGATGCCGTACGCCTCTTTGGTATTAATTGCTGGGATATGTTCACGTTGACTCAGGTTCGCACCAGATAGCGCTCATGAATGCTATCTGGAGACAACCCTGCACTGAGAGTCAGTAATGCTCGAAACCGGTCTGTAGGTTCTCGACGTTCCTGAACAATTTAAGCACAATTCAGCATTTAGGGAGGATAAAACCTGCAATTGCATTCGTCTATTCGAATCATTACATAGTATTCGGGAGGATGTAATTCGAGACGTGGCATATAGCCAGGAAAGTAGTTGTTTTTCTCTCGGTATCTACCGGTTTCGTTCATTCATGAACAATTGTGAAAATGACTTTGAGCTTTGAGTATTTATTTAAAAAATTGGAAACCAAAATGTATATGGAAAAAGCATATTTAATAGAATTGTAAATACTTATTGTCTGGTGTTTTCCCAATATCATCGACAACTTTTATTTTCTTTATTTTTATACCGGACGTCCAATCTATTACGAAAAAAATTAAAGTGATAGAAACAAGATTGGACTCTGTTTTTTTACCTAATCTTGAAAAAAAAAACATACAAAATCACTTCAAGTCGCTACTAATTCGAATTCGGGTCTTAGGACGATATTAAAACATAGGACATTTTCCACACTGTATATTACCGTTTCTGAGCTGGTATTCGATAGCTGCTTTCAGATTGAATGCCTCTGTTAGGGAAGTCTCGTGTAGGGTTATAGTGTTGCCTACAGATCGTACCTCGATTCCTTCAGTTTGCATGCCTATGCTCAGTTCTGGATGGTTCCGTATTCCCTTTTCTATGATATCGGCTATTTAATACAAAGTCCAAAGTTAAGAAACCTCTCAAAACTCTTCAAAATGAAATTACCAAATGTATATACAGACTAAATTATTCGGAACCCTCTATGAACCTTTACAGAAGAAGAGAGATATTAATAATAATAATAATCATTTATTTTCCTTCGGATAATACAAGTATTATATAGGAATAGTCAATGTCAAAGTCAAAAGACTCATGAGAAGAAAAATTCTCCTACACTATAAAAGCATTTTTCAAGTAAGAAACATCTTAGTTTTCGTTTGAACAAGGAAATGGATACAATATTTTTTAAAACATCGGGTAGATTGTTGAACATTTTTGGTCCTATATGGTTTGGAGCAACAGAAGTTATTTTATATTTGGCATATGGTATATGAAATAAGTTTTTACTTCTAGTATTGATATCGTGAATATTCTTATTAACTATGAAATTATGTTTGTTTTGAAATATAAATTCAAATTAATATCGTTCATTCATTAAGTTAAACATTGTCAAAAGCATTTGAATTTGGTTTTCCAAATTAATAGTAATCCACACACCACAACCATACAATTAGACGAGCAGATTATTTTTCTGTCAAGAAAATTAAATCAGATATTGGTGAAAAAATCCATCTATCACGATGGAATGATATAATACTAAATAACTTGAAGCTGATTAATAGGATTGAAAAATTTAAAAATGAATTTAAGAAACATCTACTCCTGTAATATTGACGTCTTATCTCATTTTTATAGTGTTCTCGTACAACTACTATAGTTTTCCATTGGGTACCTAACAGCTGAGTCAATTAAGAATCATTTTCAGTTGAACTTGAAAAAAAAAAATATTCTTGAGTTTGACTCTTATTTTACGGTCTTCTTTATTTCGTCAAATATATTTATGCAAGGTGTTTTTGAAATAAGTGCACATATTGAGGTGAGGTGAGGTGAGGTCAGATTTGCTATACAGTGTATAGAACTTTGGGTGGAAAAGAGGTCTAACCCCAAATTTTATCTTGATCCCTGAATTTTTTTATTAGTGCCATTCGATAGTACACGTCGAGCTTTCCCAGTGTTTGAAATATTTGCACTTATTTCAATGCCACCCTTTATATTCACCATGTTCCCTCCTATAAACAAATGTTGTTTCTTGGGAATAATAAAGTTGATTGATTGATATTAGATTTTGTTCTGAATAGAAACAGTACAAATTTCGGACATTTTTCCAGATTCGATAACTGTTTTGGATTACTTTTTTTACGAAAGATTTCTATTTTCAGAAGTGAGTTACCTTCGTAGTGCTGGTGTATATCAAATATTCTGTGCTAGCGCTAGGTATTCCTAGATATCTTTTTTTAACCGTAGATACGTTGTTCTTATTGCATCGGATCAATCATCGTGAATTGTTATGGATCGAAATAAACTTGTTTTATAGATAAATATTTTTAGCTGTTTTCGACGCCTACAGAATTAAGAAAACCATCTCGCCTTCACGCTCAAATTTTGGCAGAAAATTAGTGCTACGAAATAATTTCTAATGGAAATGTTCAAAATATTGTACAATTACATATTAACTGAAATTGATTCATTCTGGTTATATTTCAAAAAAGATTTAATTTCTTTATATATTGAACTGAACAATCTATGAAGACACAACTTATCATGAATATAATTTTGAAAATGTTGATGCATTAGGGAATAGGCAAGGAATGATCATTCGAGCATTCCATGCAAGTTATACACTATAATTTTTCTACGGCTATAATAGATAACAGCGGCATTTTCGATTTCTTCGTCTTGTAGCCATCTGATTTTCTGTCAAGTGATGCTCATCATCATTGCTTGCAATTTGACATTCCATGAGCGATGAGATTTTTTTGAAATAATAACAATGGAGTCATTGTGATATCAGATACGGAAATAAAATTGATACCTCAATGATGTATCGAGCACAGTAAAACAAGAGCAATTTTGTGTTATAGCCGTAGAAAAAAATAATTGTTATAGAGGCTGAATTCGGTTGGGGCGTTACTGTACAGTGTGTCTCACGATGATTCCATTTGGTTATTGAGTGTATCTTGGTAGCTCACTCGCTCCTACGAATTACACAATTTTACCTCCATACTTGAGGAATATTCAATAAAGGGTGTATCCATAAGAAGTGGGACACACTGTATAGTGACTTCCCAACCGAATTCGGCCTCTTCAATAACTCCGAAACTACACTAATACCTTAGAAAACATTTATTTCGTATCAATATACTTATTTCCGTGGACTGTATTTGTCATACTTGGCCAAGGATTTTTACACATTCACATATGTTTTACAGAAACTTACCACAGTATTTCAGGGATGGTCCATATTCTTTCAACCGGTAGTAGCATAAAGCAATATTATAGGCTAGGAAAGGTTTGAATCCTTGATTTTGTAAAGCTCCAGTGAATTTTGACAAAGCTTCTTCATAATTTCCATCCTGAAATTATAAAATGCATTTTTTTTAACATCGAAATTTCAGGTTATTGAAATAATGTTTGATAGTATTGAATCGCAAAGTATCAGAAAGTTATCAGAACATAGAATATAGAACCACAAAATATTCATAACTAAATGTCGATCTAAACTGATGAAAACAATATAGGATATTTTTCTAGAAAAATGCAATATATAGCTATGCCTCATTTATTCTAGGAAAATGCCTTTATATATCAAAAATACCACTTTTTTCGATCAGTTTATCAACGAAATAGGGTCAAGTACCAAAATTGCAAACGCCTCAAACTCCGAGGTTCGAGGTAATTAACAAGTTGAAAAAATATTGTTCCTTCATCATTTGTTTATCTTGTAATAGACACTGGGTTCCAAAATTTTGTGGGACAACGGGATTTTCAATTTTTTTAATATATTGTGATTCGATAATATATTCTGATCGAAATCTTTAGGCCTATGATATTGGTATAGTCGAAACACGTTGTTTTTTCAAAAGAAAAATGAAAGAAAAACAGCACAAGTCGGTCGACCACACTTTATATTAAAACTTCCTTAAAAAGTTACCGGTTTCGGCACTACGGCCATCATCAGACAATGGTACCAAACAATATGGGACTCAAAATGTAAAAACAATAATCATGGTTTCGTCAACTGGTTGGAAGAACAGATTCTTCCAACCCGTTGACGAAATCGTAACTTTTTAAGGAAGTTTTTATATGAAGTGTGGTCGACCGACTTTGTGTCTTTAATTTTTTTTTCTTGAAATATCATTAGACCACTTCGAGATATGGATGATTTTCATGATTTACATTGTTTTTTCTTCTACTTCATTTTTTATCGATGAAAGCATATAATTAATTTATATTTCTCATGATACCTCTCATACCTTATAGAGTAAACATCCCAAATTGGCTTCTTTATCTGGATCGCTGGCAGGACATGCCTCTACCAAATTTTTAGCAGAGAGAACGTCTTCTTGGCTGTACTTAATTGCGGCCTGTAATTTAGTGACTTTTTCCTTATGTTCTGGTTCCTCTATCAACTTGTTGCAAGCCTGAAACGATTCTTCATACATGCAGGCTAAAAATAAAGAAAACGAATTATTTCATTAACAAAATAACATCAATACTGTTTCATACTGTTTTATACGAAAGCCTAGAACGGATATGCGATATTTTTTTCGTTATTTCGTGTTGTAACTCTAAATTAGCTTTATTGTTGAAATAATCTTGCAATTATAATTTTAGCCTGTATGACATTCTATATAATAGATGCAGTTAGGGCATCAATGGATTCTTAGCCTTATCAATTGTTGATTTCTACCCAATTGAAGTGACACAAAATCCGAGACAAAATCACTATTTTAGAACGTCAAAATATTATTCTGTCATAAAAAAATTCAGATTTCATACGCTGGTACCCACGAGAAAAAAATTTGCACTAAAATACATACGTTGCTTTGGTAATCTGTCATAAAAACCCAATTTAACTGTATAGAAGCTGTATAGATATAGTATATAACTGTATAGAAGAAGCCGATTTCTTTGACGAAATTCAGCAGCTTCCTTAGCTGAGTCGCTTTCACATCCTTTGGGTGCAGTACAATGCTCCCAAAGGCAGTTTTCCTCTGATGCACCAGCGCGGGGCATTCAGTGAGTATGTGTGATGATGTTTCATCATCCTCCAAGCACCATCTGCAGATGGGATCATCTTTGATCCCTATGAGTTCTAAGTGCCTGTTAAGGTGGTTGTGCCCAGTTAAGAGCCCAGCTACCATCTTGAGATCCCTTCTATTCAAAGACATGATCTCGTGAGCCTTTTTGAAGGTTCCTTTATATGGAGCTTTGATTGTCTCATTCCTGGTGTGTCCCGCCATGTTTCAAGGAACTGCCTTTGTAGCATTTCCTTCATGAAGGATATAGCCGTACTATTGGGTATTCCCAATATCGGTTCTGGTCCAATGGGTGTCGTTCCTGAACCGATCTTGGCTAGTCTGTCTGCCTCCTCGTTCCCCCGGATACCAGAGTGTCCTGGAACCCACATGACGTTGACTTTCCTAGTTTTTGCCATATTTTCTGAGGCACTTCTACACTCGGAACACCAATTTAGTTGTGATCCTATTGGATCTCAATACCACTTGGTACATAAATAATTATAATAATTCACCTTGATAAAGAGCTTGGGCATAATATAGCTGATAATCCTTATCGTCGGGATACAGGTTCGTCAATTGTTCGTAGTAATTGGCGGCGTTCGAGAAGTCCTGGATGTAGAAATAGCAGTAGGCCAAAAGTGATAGTCCGGCCCTGGTGGAACTCGATTCCGAAATTCCGTGCAATATTTTGATGGCATCGTTGTATCTATTATCTTTTATCTAGGAAGATACAAAAACCTTTGAAAATATATATTAGGAGAAAATTTATCTAGGTATTGTAGGAGCCGAAAATAAGTAAGAAAGCTGTACTTTGATTTCTTTGCCTACAGAATAAGTATAATCCCATGAACTTATAACCTACAAAAGATGAAAAAAAAATCCGATACGTCCTTTATTTATCTAATAGGGATTCCCTTTTTTACGCTCCAAAAGATTACAAAAAATTTCCTATATGACTTTCAGTTCAGTATCAGTATCAACTGGATTTTTACACGATTTTCCCCAAATTGTGACGCTTCAAACTGTGTTCAATTGTTACATTTTGAGTGGATATGTAAACCTTTGCACATCAAAGATATATACTGTAACATAGATGTATAGAAAGTCAAATGGTGTTAACACTTACTATTGAAAGGAGTTTTGAAACCTCTCGATATCACCTACTTTGTAAAAATATCGAGGCGTGGGAGAATCTTTGCTAAATTTCCGAAGTTTCAAACCAACTTTACAGGTATAATGACACATTCATTTGAGTTCACATTTTCATTTTCACAATTTTTTGTTTAAATGGAAACGGTGCGTCATATTTTCGACTTTCAATGGTGAATTCATGAACGACGCGAAGTCCTAACTCAAAAAAATCCTGTGATAATAGTTTATTTATTCACTTTTAGAACATTATATAAAACGAATGTTCGGATTTTCAAATAATTCTCATACATTGCAGCAGTCAGTCCATGATGAAAGCACAATACACTCACTCAACTACTAATATATATCAATACTTGCTTAATAAACTACTAATGCTCTTACTTCATTATATTTCTAAACTACTCAACACTAATTTCGTCGCACACCAAAATGTCGCCCCTGTTATAATGTGAATAACTTTTTTCAGTTTAAAACAATTTGAATTTGGTTCACACTGTTCGATATCCCAGTCCTTCAGCTATAATCTCGTACTTCATTGAAACATAAGGGTATTCACATAAGATCTCTACATGGTGTTTTCCGACACTGTGCGAAATTTCGGGATATTCAAAAGGCTCTCAAATGGTGAGAAAAATGTTTTTCTCAACTTCGACAACAGAGGCATGAAGATGATCTCATTACCTCGAGATATTTCGCGAATCAACTTCCTATCTCTCTTATTTAAAGAGTGATCTCGAAAAAACTTTTTGGTTTTGCAGCCATGAATTTTTTCCACGTCAACCGATTTTGGAAATCTTAGGCTCATTTTGAAGATAAAACTTCAGATGAAAAGATTTGAATATCAGAATTGACTCAAGATGGCTATCAAAGATCTAGGATTTTCTTGAAAGTGACCCAAATCTGGAACGCCCTTCGAATCTTGGTTGGGAGGAGAATTGAATGAAAATCAACTTGTTCTCGGAAAAACAATTCATTCTGGATGCGTCCATATTTTCCTCGCTCTCATTAGTCAAGAATTGTGCGTGAGAAAACACAATTGAAACATGTTCTTGCAAAAACATTAGATCATTTCTCCTCTGTAATGCATGGCCCGCCGTAACCAATGTTACAAGAATCACAATGAGTGACTGACAAACCCGACCAGCTGAGGATCATCATAAATGGTGTACCAACAAGAGCAACGGATTTTGATTTTTTCAATAAAGTGATTTTTTTAACAGTTGTCACGTACATAACATGCGATTTAAGAATATGGAGAAGTATTCAAGCAAACAACGTTTATTTATTGTAAAAACGCATCCTAAAAATGGTGGAAGTTTCACGAAAACAGTTTGCCAATTACGTAAAGTCTTCAGTCGCAATAATGCGCCGAACGAATCGACAGTAATAACCAAACAATTCGTGTCAGAGATAAGCCCTTTGAATGGATCGGACTGTCGTGTTTAGCAGATCCGCGATTTGGAGGGAAGGTTACCCTTTTTCCCTCAATTGTGGAATCAGTTCCAACTGGTCGGGCGTTAGATGCGGCATCGAAACTATCAAAATCTGTTTATGATTCGAAAACGACGTCTAACCTGACTTGTCAGTCACTTACTGTGATTCTTGTAGCGTTGGTTACGGGCCATGCATTACAGAGGAGAAATGGTCTGATGTTTTTGCAAGAACATGTTTCAATTGTGTTTTCTCACGCACAATTCTTGACTACTGGGAGCGAGGAAAATATGGACGCATCCAGAATGAATTGTTTTTCCGAGAACAAGTTGATTTTCATTCAATTCTCCTCCCAACCAAGATTCGAAGGGCGTTCCAGATTTGGGTCACTTTCAAGAAAACTCTAGATCTTTGATAGCCATCTTGAGTCAATTCTGATATTCAGATCTCTTCATCTGAAGTTTTATCCCCAAAATGAGCCTAAGATTTTCAAAATCGGTTGACGTAGAAAAAAGTTATGGCTGCAAAACCGAAAAAGTGATTTTTTGAGATCACTCTGTAAATAAGAGAGATAGGAAGTTGATTCGCGAAATATCTCGAGGTAATGAGATCATCTTCATGCTTCTGTTGTCGAAGTTGAGAAAAAAATTTGTTTCACCATTTAAGAGCCTTTTGAATATTCCGAAATTTTGCACAGTGTCGGAAAACACCATGTAGAGATTTTATGTGAATACCCTTATGTTTCAATGAAGTACCAGATTATAGTTGAAGGACTGGGCTATCGAACAGTGTGAACCAAATTCAAATTGTTCTAAACTGAAAAAAGTTATTCACATTATAACAGGGGCGACATTTTGGTGTGCGACGAAATTAGTGTTGAGTAGTTTATTTGAAATTTGAACAAAATCTTGCATATGCCGAAAACATGACACTCGTGACAGACATGTCAAGATCAAGATGTATCTTTTGTGTCATGTCTCTAGATGCTTCTTATGAGCTATTATTGGATTCGTGCATCATCATCGGTCCTCTTCAGGTCCCGAAAGGAGGAAAACACATCATTGAAAGTCTAGTTCAACTTCATAATGAGATTCTAAACGCATTTTGAAATTTTTTAAGAAATCCATCGTTCACGCCATCTATCATCGGAATTGAGAACCTCACGTTCCGACCTCACATTCAATCGTTTATATCGAGAGTTATAGTCTGACGAAACAATTGAAGAGTGTGCACACCAGAGGAATTATAAACATCTCAACGGTAACCATGGCATGTCGTTCAAGTAGCACCAGGCCAAGAATTATTAACTCTCTGGTAGATAGGTAGGACATGTCATAGTGTCAGTTGACAAAAATAATGGAAATGGGATATCCCAGTTTGGCGATTATTTCGAAAACAAGAACATTTCCAGGTCTAAAAAAACAATGAATAACTCACCAATGTGTATATTGTTTTCGTGAAATCACCGTCTTTTATAATGTTCGCAGAATACATTTTCGTTCCAACAGTTCAATGTTTGTATTCCATGTGGTAACCATAGAGAAGATGCTACAATAATAATTACCTACCTCGATCACAGATGGAAATACTTTTATAGTTACTTCAGTATTATAGGACAAATCAGAATTCGCCCAAAATTGTCCCTGCGCTTAACATTCCACTATTTAGATCATGAAGAATTTTATCGATAGTCAATGACACCTTGTTTGGATAATGTTTTAAGAAGAAAATAATATAGGTGTATTGAATGAATCTGAAATTGTTAGAACTGGAAGTGCTAATTTTGAGTTGAACTCAAAATTAAGATAATTTTAGAAAAGAGAAATTTGAACATATAAAATGAATATTCTATTCTATTCGTTTTTTTAAATTTTATGTTCTGGTTCTCACGAAAAGGGATATCCTGTACTGTAATGTTCAGAGAACATCGTGAGAACCAAGGGAAATAAGGAGGGAATTGGTTTTCTTCTTAAATTTCTGGAGGTTCACACCGGCAACACCTTCCTTGGCAATGTGTTCCAGAGCCTCGCTGTTCGTTGGATGAACGAGTCTTTGGAAAGAGGTGTTCTGCAGGTCTCAGAAGTGACCACGAAGGGGTGCGAAGCCTCAACTCGACAGGTTAATCTCGTGGGGACTGCCAAGGGAGGAACAATTGTTGATATTTCAGAAGAGCATTGTCCATGAAAATATCTATAAAATAAAGCCAGATCGCCAACTTTTTTGCGGTGTTCCAGAAAAGTGAGCGAGTTTGTGAGCGAGGCATCACCCACGAGACGAATTGCCTTTTTTTGGACAGAATTCAACAGTTTCAGGGTATATTTGGGTGCTGCACTCCAAATATGGGAACTATATTCCAGGACAGGTCGAATCTGTGCCTTATAGATCATAAGCAGCTGACTGAAAGTGAAATTGCTCCTTTTGGGATTTACTTTTAGCAATTGATCTCACGTGATTTTCCCAAGAAAGGTTATTACTGATAGTAATACCAAGCATCGAAATGGATGTCTTCAAAGGTATGGTTACTCCTGACAAGCTTATGTTGGGCATAGTGAGATCGGCTTTTCTAGAGAAAAGGCACGCTTGTGTTTTGTTTGCATTGAAATTTATATATCAAAGACAATATAGTATAGTCGTGGACAAAGTATAGTATTAGTAGTACCTAGTAATAAACTTAACTTTCGTGAATAATAGCCCTCATTATATGCTTGTTGAATAATTTACTATAGTATTTATATTTTTCGACAATTTAATCTCGTATTATGAAAATCCACACTTCTTCACAGAAAACAGATGCTCTTGTTCCGTACAGGGGCGGCGAGTGCATGGGGGCATCGGGGCCAATGCACTCATGTAGACCATAGGTATGGGTGCAATGCACCCATTGGCCGAAACGAAGATGTACCTTTGTTTATGTTGATATTAACAACAGACCCGAAACCCGATTAGTCAAAAAACATTATATTCTAGAAGGGGTGTTTCACACGTAATGCAGAATCAATATTGCATCAAGCTATCTTCAAATTTGAAGGCATTTGACCTTGAGCCATAAAAAATTTTCGCCTGCGGCGCATTTTTTGTTGGCTTGTCCTAACCCCTCCATTTTGGCACCCATTGGGCAAAACAAAACTCGCCGCCCCTGGTTCCGTATATCGATTAGATGTAGATATCATTTTATACATCACTCTGCCAATTTTCAAATCATAGTGACTATGAAAAAAATCAACTACTTACTTTCTTTTCACCAAACAATGTCATAGTGACTCGTTGAATAGTGAAATAATAATTAGAAACTATTCAATTTTTTGTGCCACTACGACTCATTGCAACGTTATGCATATAATATGTGAGATGCAACAATATTTTTAAATCGATTTTACTCGATTATCATACACTCTTGAATCAAATTTTGGAATGATTTTATGTTTACTACATTGGGCGTCGAAATATTTAAGAAATATAATCCTCAGGAGCCCCCTTTCAAGGGGCCGTGGCTCCCTCAGGAGATATTTATCGAGTCATGTTCATTGTACATTTTTTTCGTATTTTTTGTCATAAAAGCCGCTGGTGAAGTTTGGCAGGCTATTTTATGGACACCCTGTATAATATTGGGACTATTTCACTCCTCCCATAGATCTAAATACTCACTTCCCAGACATGGAATATATTCACTAACGTAATAGAGCAAGAATTGTCGAGTTGGTATATTGAAAGAGTGAAAATTTCACTTATAATCTCCCTAGGGCTGCATTATTGCTGTAAAATCTTCAAGTACATTAATTTTCTTTGAAATTTCCCGCTATTAATTCATGCACGTGGGGGATTCGGTAAGAAAATTCTATACCGGAATTATATTTAAAAAGAATATTTACTCAGAATAATTGTGGCTTTTCAACGCTTCCTTTTTTGGTGGATTATCGCAACACCTCGTACAAACTCTGACGTATTACTACGTCACTGTAACCGCAACCGATCGTCATTTCTCGTTCCTCAACTTCTTCTCACGCTTCTCACGCCTCATCATCATTCTCCACCCTTGGCACAGTTGTTTCCCTTGGCCTATTATACTTCCGTGCGTACGCGTCGATACACGGGCTGCGGATGGCGGTGACGTCACGCCGTCGTCGCGTGCTAGATTACGACGAAAAAAAAAGACGGTGCGCGACGTCTCATGCAGTGTTTCGCTCGCTACGCGCGAAGGTGTAGAAGCACGCGATGTCGATATCGAAATCGCCGCAATCGATCAAGTGATCCGTTCGCAGGCGACTTGATCACAGTAACTGTGACTTGATTTCCGTACAGCGTGCCGTCTAGATGTTGATCTTCGATTGCGCGCCAAAGCCTACTGGATTCGAGCATTCTTGTAATTGCTCATTGTTTATAGAGAAACAGTGTGTATAACGCTCTAGCTCCAACAAGATGTATATTTAGAGAGTTGGAACTTGGATTTGGGCCACGGAATCCAAAGTTTTTAGCATACCTGACGATTCGATGATTTTGATTTTTGGGGCGCTATGGAATCTCAGTCTACGAGGAAGCTCAGTAGTAAGTGTCGAAGATGATTGAATTTTGAAAGCTTTTACCATGTTTCTCCTCACATTTGAAGGATATAAAATTTTTAGCATTTGTCCAGACGGAATGCATGAGGTGAGAGTATACACTGCTCTTTCTACACATGAAATTGACATTTTGGCGCTCATTTTTATAAAGCAAAGCAGAATTTTTGCGCATTTTTGCACTTTGGAAGAAGAACGCCAGAATATTTTGGCATTCGGTATTTTCGTAACAGGTGCTTGAAGTTCGAGTCATTGAACAAATTTTTTGTATCCAGTCGAAAATGTAGCAATAAAATCTTGGGTGTATTGAATCGAGGACAAAGCTGATGAATAATAATAAATAAATAAATAAACTCAATTACACAGAGGTGAATTGTATTTTTTATCTCGAAAACAGTAGCCAAGAATATTCGTCAAATGTGGTCGGTGTTCGCGGTGTCTGTGACAAAATAAATTTTTGTCAATTTATTTTCATTAATTTTTTATTCATCCCGGTATTTATTATATCAAATGAAAATGTCGATTCCATTATTATTTTGAAAGAAAGCATCTAAAGTATTTGTTTTTGTTTTGTTTTTGTTTTGACATTTCATCTCGCTTCATAAATTATTTTTTAAAGTGAGTACTCTTTTCCCGGATATTATACACACTGTTCATGGCTTTTGTTGTGCTAGTTATGAAAAATAAGCCAATAACACAGTCTCCGAGGAAGAACTGCAAGTCCTTTTTATCTTCCATTTCAGCTATGTTGATGCAATGTAAAGCCATTGCTGAAACGGACGTTCAGCAATATTGTAAAGGTGAAGTTTGATAATGTAGAGTTGCAGCAATATGACATGTTGCTGTGACATTGCTGGAATGTTACATTTACAAATTTACATCTGCAAATTTACATCTGCAATATTGCTGAACGTCGGTTTCAGTAATTACTACAACCTTGTATCGACATAGCTTCCAAATATTCTTAGTAGGTAACAACCACTACAATGTTTTTACATTCCTTTGGGACATATACAGTCTGTCCAAGATAAGGTTGAACAGCATGGGGATCTCGGAAACGGTAGGAGATACGAAGTCGCTTAAATGGGAAAAAAGTTGCGCATTCGGAGGCTCATATCAAGAGCCTTCGAAAATTTTGAAAATTATTTTTAGTTTTTGAGTTATATCGAAAGAAGTGAATTTTTGGAATTTCTATTTTATTTTTTTTCTCCGTTATTATCAGAGATACAGAAAAACTGAAAATACTTTTTTATTGCAACTTTTGATGAGGTTTAACGTGGTGATACCGATTTTTTTATGCGACGTTTCGTATTCGTGGAACCATCATCAACTTTTGTTTTTTAAATACGGTCCTGATAATTTTATTAAACAAAAATTCCATCCATACAAATTCAGAATATGTCAAGCGCTAAAACCAGGCGATGACGAAAGGCGCAAGACATTCTGTGAGTGTTATACCAGGAAATGTTAAAATTTTGCAGATTTCTTTCGAACAATCATCTGGACTGATGAAAGCATGGTCACTAATCATGGTAGCTTCGATAGAAAAAATACGCATTATTGTTCACGAGAAAATGAACATTTATACATTACAGCGAGACACCAACACCGTTTCGGCTTTAATATGTGGGTTGCAATATTTGGTACACGAATTATTGTTCCTTCTATTTACCATGAAACACAGACTTCCGAACGTTATAGAAATTCGCTTGAGAATGATCTTGAGGAAGCTCTGGATGATTTACCGATTGCGGAAGTTCAGAACTCTGTTGGTTTCAACAAGATGGCGCTCCGGTACATAATTCCAGAGAAGTCCGTGCGTTTTTATCCCTTGGCCGGCGCGGTCGCCTGATTTGACACAGCTGGATTTTTTATTAGGGGATATATCGAACTTTGTACACGCATATAACTTTGATATGAGCCTCCGAATGCGCAACTTTTTCCCCATTTAACCGATTTCG